TAAAGCAGAAACCGCCGTCTGTTCAATCTCCACCTCTAAGGGGCTTGGAAAGTGATGAACATCAGCTTCCTTATTCACAGAACAAGCCCAAGTTCTCTCAGCCTCCTCCGCCACCGAATAGGGCGGCGTTTCAGGCGATTACGCAGGATAGGTCTCCTGGTCCTCCACGGCGGTCCCCTCCTCCACTCCATACTCCACCTCCACCTCCACCTCCTCCTCCTTGTCCTCCTCCACCTCCTCAGATACGGCAGAGAGATTTCCAGTTACCACGAAAACTCAGCAATTCCGAAGCAACCAATCCGACAAAGTCAGATGATCCTTCAAGAAAACAAGCATTCAAGACTCCAAGTCCTCAATCGAAAGCTGTTGAAGAGACCAATAGTGAACCAACCAGGTCTCTTGAGAAAACAGGAGAAGGGGACACGGATCCAAGCAGGCCAAAGTTAAAGCCACTCCACTGGGACAAAGTACGCGCGAGCTCTGATCGAGCCACAGTTTGGGACCAGCTCAAATCAAGCTCATTCCAGTGGGTATCACTGTCCTCTACATTGTTGTGTCACATGGCATGAGTTTGACGTTTGCAATAACTTCTTAGAACTTATTGGTATTAAACAGATTGAACGAGGATAGGATGGAGCATCTGTTTGGTTGCAACTCAGGAAGTGCAGCTTCAAAGGAACCTGTGAAAAGGTCAGTGATGCCTCCTGCTGAGATTGAGAACAGAGTACTTGATCCAAAGAAAGCGCAGAACATTGCAATCCTCTTAAGAGCTCTGAATGTAACACGTGAAGAGGTGTCAGAAGCTCTTTTAGATGGTAAGTTTTTGTCTCCCATTTGATTCATTACTTACTTGGGGTAAAGTTCCATTTTCATAAAGAAGGATTGGCATTTGCCTTGATCGTGATTAGCTATATACATTTAGGTTCCTCTGTTCTGTACATAACCAAATTTTGAGTATTAATGCCTTGATGAGCAAATTGAGATCTTTTGAGTCGTAGGAACGGTAATAGAGAGATGTTCATCAGAGGTATTAATGTTAAAAAGCTAGATAATACTAAATAAGATTAGGCCACAAGTTGTAATCATTGCAAAGAACAAAGACATATGAAATGATTTTCTCTGCTTTATATTGCTTTTAACATGATTGTGCTACTTATGAATGAAGAAAAAAACTGCATCTAGAGGGAGAAAAAGGGTCATCCTGTAATTTTACAGGAGCGGCTAGCATGATGTAGAGCTATATAGTTCACAATCATTAAGACTGTCAAAACAAAAATGATTTCAGTTATGCATTGTTCTTAGACGCATGAGCATTTGTGGTACTTGTTATTTCAATCTAATCAAATCCGTGGCACGGTGGTAACAGGTAATCCCGAGAGCTTAGGTGCGGAGCTTCTAGAGACTTTGGTGAAAATGGCTCCAACAAAGGAGGAAGAGATAAAACTCCGAGAGTACTCTGGTGATGTCTCGAAACTAGGAACAGCCGAGAGATTCCTCAAAACCATTCTCGATATCCCTTTTGCATTCAAAAGAGTTGAAGCAATGTTGTATAGAGCCAACTTTGATGCAGAAGTCAAGTATCTAAGGAACTCTTTCCAGACACTAGAGGTTAGTTAGTCACTCATAAAGACATTTGATAATTCAATTTCCAAAACGAATTGTCCTAATTTTTTTGTTCCATCCCTTGGTTGCTTTCTAGGAAGCAAGCTTAGAATTAAAAGCAAGCAGGCTATTTCTTAAGCTCCTCGAGGCTACTTTAAGGACAGGAAACCGAATGAACGTTGGCACTAATCGCGGAGATGCCAAAGCCTTCAAACTCGATACACTTTTAAAACTTGTAGACATAAAAGGAGTTGATGGCAAAACCACATTGCTTCACTTTGTCGTCCAAGAAATCACAAAATCTGAGGTAACAACAACAGCAACAATAGATGAAACCATCCTCCAAGGAAGCAAAGACGGTTTCAGAAAGCAAGGATTACAGGTCGTCGCTGGACTCAGTAGAGATCTCTGCAACGTGAAAAAGTCAGCCGGAATGGATGCCGATGTGCTGAGTGGTTACGTGAGAAAGCTCGAAACGGGTCTTGATAAACTCCGATCTTTTCTCAAGACAGAGACAACAACAATGACTCAAGGGAAGTTCATTGATTCAATGAAAACGTTTCTCAAAGAAGCAGAAGAAGAGATTCGAAAGGTCAAAGGAGGAGAAAGAAAAGCTCTGTCAATGGTTAAAGAAGTAACAGAGTATTTCCATGGAGACGCTGCAAAAGAGGAAGCACATCCTTTGAGAATCTTCATGGTCGTAAGAGACTTCCTCGGAGTTCTCGATAACGTTTGTAAAGAAGTGAAGACGATGCAAGAAATGTCGACAGCGATGGGTTCGGCTTCAGCTAGATCGTTCAGGATTTCAGCAACAGCTTCGTTACCTGTTCTTCATAGGTATAAAGCAAGACAAGAAGATACAAGCTCAGATGATGAACAAAGCAGCAACTCTTCTACGTGACGAAACACAAAGCTGTACAGTTTTTTCCACCGAGACAAGGATTAAATTGGTGTTTCTCAAACCGGAGGAGATATTGAGTTGGTTAAGTCGGAGAATTTGCACCAGTTTAGAGAGTAACAAACACACTATAGATAATGATCAAATTTTCGTTAACAAATAAGGAACCTTCTTTTTTTATCTTTGTTAGTTTTTTTTTTTGTTGGCCGTTGAGATTTATATAGATAGATATAACTATATTGTAATTTCTTGCGTTTTAGTGGAGATATTGTTTCTTTTGGTCATAACGCTGTATTCAATACAAAAAATTCGTCTTCTTCAGTAGAAGTGATGATCACAAAATAAGATAGGTTCCGAATTTTGGTTCTTGTTGAGAAGGAATCAGAATCCAATACGAACGTAACAATAAAAGAGTTTTTTAAAGGCAAAAATATGTATATGGTGTAAATTGAGTATAGGGATTTGGGCTTGTGACAATGTATGTTTCGAACATTACTTATTTAATGAAATAGAAACATGTGATGTGAGTGAGACCGATTCTATTGTACAACTTGTACCACACGTCTATCTCTTTCTTATTGCTTTTGTCCGGTTCTGCGTCACATTTTTTTTTTTCCCCACCACGATCTTTTCGTTTCTGTTTCCCATTTTTGGAGGTATTAAAAATAACAAAAGCAAGTAGGGTCGTAATAAAGTTGGTAGATTCTTCTGTTCTTTTGTCTCGTCTGTTTGTTTCTCAACAAGATGACTCGGCTTATTATAAATTTTGCCACTGGGTTTAAAAGATAAAATCACAAAACCGAAACGAATAACCAAGTAAGGAAAAAAGCTGTCATCGTTGCGGAGCCGAGGAAGAAACGATAAACCACCTGTGGAGACAATGTCTTGATGAGCAAGTTTCTTCTTTGTTGAATGACCCAACGGTAACAAATGGAAGTTAACTGCAGTGACTATTTTGAACTAAAGGTAAATTTACTTTTGGGACCACATACATGGGGAAATGGCGATTGCTTAAAATAGAAGAACAAGAGCATTGTCTATCCTCTAAGGGCTTATTGTCGCGTGTATATAAAAGCAGTAAGTCACGCTCTGCAGTCTGCAACAGCTAAAACAAGAAACAACAACTGACGTTTAGCGTTTTTGGATCGACTGGAGCAAGCGGCTGGATCTTGTGGAAGCCCTTGGTGCCTAAGCACTATAAAAGGAAGATGCTTTGGAATAGAGAGAGATGTAAGAAGAACTTGAGAGGTTTTAGAGAGATTGTAGCTAAGAGAAAACCATTTAGTATAAACTTTGTAATAGTTTTCTTGATACAAGTAAGAATCGAAGAGTGTCTAAGTGCTAGTGAAGGGCAATAGGCGGATCTCTTGATTCTTCTTGTTGTAAACAGCTGCTCTCTATTGATTCTAGTGGATTCCGAGGTGAGCCTCGGCGAGATGTAGCGTCCTTTAACGGCGTGAACTCGTTAAACCTGTGTGTGCTCCTTTTCTTTCATTTTGTTTCTGCTTTTTCATCATCTCTGCAATCTCTTTCCTCTGTTTTAGAATTCTGTTCTTAAAGTGTGTTCTGTTGTCTGTCATTCAAAGTCTCAGATCTTGGTTTGTTGCGTCTCAGGCTAAAGAAAGTCGACATCTTTAGCAGATAGAGTCCTAACACCACCTGATCTTTGAATGCCCCCCATCTAAGCAAGTCTGGGCTTTATCCTCTATCCCTTCAGCCCCAGATATTTTCACCTCGGAATCACTCTATAGCAACCTGGACTATCTGTATAAGGGAGCGGTTGCTTCCGGTGCAAGGGAAGAAGACATTCGCGTTTTTCCGTGGGTCATGTGGTACTTGTGGAAAGCACGAAATCAAAAAGTTTTTGACAACTCTGATGAGCTCCCTACCGCGATTGTAGAGCACGCTGTTTATGAGGAAGAAGTTTGGAGATCGGCAAATTCAATTGATACTTCTTCGGAGGAAGATGCATCCAGGATTGACCTTAGGTCTCCTTCCCCGCTGGAAACAGTTTGTTATGTCGATGGGTCGGGGCTTGATTCAGCTCCAACAAGCGGCCATGGATGGGTGGTTGCTCAAGGAGACAACTCGATTCTCTTAGGTCTGCGTGGATCGGATGGTTGTGTATCACCCCTACATGCGGAACTGGTCTCGTTGCTGTGGGCTATGCTCTGTATCTCCCGAGAAAGTGTGGCTTGCTCCCTCTTTGCAACGGACTGCATGGACCTCATCTCTATGATTGATCGGCCTGATGAGTGGCCCTCCTTTGCTTCAGAACTGGACGATTTCAAGTCTTTGGTGGGTTCTTTCCATTCTTTTCATCTGTTTCATGTGCCTCGGACTGGAAATACCCGTGCTGATAGCCTCGCCAAAGCAGCTAGAGCGCGAGGCATACACTTCTCCCATGTTAGCTCAGCGGCTCCACCCTGGCTCTCCCCCGCGGCGAGCTTTGCCCCTCAAGCTTAAGTTATGGAGTTTTGAAGACAAAAAAAAAAAAAAATCCTCCAACCGGATTTGACTCTCAGAACCAGCATACAGATATCTTGACCCTTTGCCGACCAAAATACCGTATGTTTTCATTTATTCAATTTAATATGTTACACTTTTTTTTTCCAGCAGAAGATCACAAGAAACGCTTAAAACTCGACTTCTTGGGATTGAGAAAACGATGTCCATTTTGAGCTGACGGTTTAAGACACGGAGGAGGAAGAGCTAGTCACCGGTAAAAAGAAAGGAGAGCGTCCGATTATCTTAGTCCCTAACATATTCCTCACCAGAAGTTTCCATCTAACCTCATCCTTCTTGCTCTGTTTCTCCATCTTCTCCTTAAAGTTCCTGATCCCAAAAATCCATACAAATATCAAACACAGGAGCTAATTTTCTGGTCTGAATAGTACAGTAAATGCAACAAAGTTAAGAATGTGTTATTTTCATTTTGGGGGTTTTACCTGCATAGTGGGACTCGACATTGATCAGAATCTGCGCAAACTCGTGAATGCAATTCGAGGAGTTGCCACATTCTCTTGCAATGTACGCAACCTCCTGGAACTTTAAGCTTACAGCCTGCGAAATGTCGGATTAATGATTCTAATCCTTTGCAAGCTTGATAGTTACACGGTGCGTGGTTTGGTTTGAAATCTTTATCGTGTGGTCCTATAGTTTTACATCCGTCTCTGCATATATGAACAAGAGCTTCCATTGCTTCGTATAGCTGCGAATAAATCCTCCGTTCATTGCATTTCCTGATCCTGTCTTTCCGCATCTGCGTTTATGTTTTATAGGTATACAAGTTTTTAGAATTTGGTAACGAGACAGAGGTAGAGCAAAAAGAAAAAGAGTGTTTGCACTTACATTTTCTTCGATGATCACAGAGTCTCTAAGTTCTTTCTCGAGAAAGGGATGGCTTTTCTGCATAGCTATCCATGCTTCTGTGGCATAAAGCTCCTTGAAGTGATTCATGATCATACGGTGAGATATGACGCTAAGCCGGGGGAAATCACACAGCAGCGCAAGCTGGAACACATCAATTACGTTCTCAGTGTTAAGTAAACCATGTTCTAGATGCCATTCACAGAGCCGTTTCAACTGAGGAACCACGTACGCGTGTGATAGAAGCAGCAAATGCATGATAAACTCATTCATTTCTTCTTTTTCATAGCTTTAAGAAACAAAAAACAAAATCAGGTTTAATCAGTATACTAAGATAAGACAATGCTAAAAAGAGGCAGAGTAAATAAGTAGTAGATGCAATGGGATTAGATTTTGTACCAAGCGGAGTAGAGGAAACGGATAAAAACTCGGACAGCATCATGAGGAACACCACGGATTGAGATTGCATGCCACTTGCCATGTCTTTTGGCTTGCTTCAACATGCCTTTGATCACAGTCGAAGCAGTCCCCTGTTAATTGAAAAACCATGCAACAGAGAGACTTAGTCTGTATTCGTTTTTTTTATCAACACAGTTTCATAGAAGTTTTAAGGAGAGCTTACAATTATGTTGGCATGAGCGTAGATGATGCCGCCATTATCTGTATAGATCACTACATTAGCTTTGTATCCGTCGTTGAAAAGACGATCCCACATATCTCTTGTGGCTGTCGAAACGCAGCTATGCTCGATCCCTGGTGCTACATATCGTTTCTGGTGTCCATCAGATTTCGATGGAACAGGTGGAGGAATTGGCACAGTAGAATCTGCTGCTTTGAAGGATTGATGAAGTTCAACACAACCAGTCACCATTTCTCTTTGTTGGCTGATTGTTTTTCTTATCTTCCTTCCTGCTGCATCAACCAGAACTGAAAATTTTGATTGTCAAGTCACAAAAATTCATTGAAATTTTTGGAAGCTGAATAGTAATATTTGCTCTCAAGTCAAGACAGATCTTGCTTTCACTCCAAACATGATCAGAATCTTTTTTTTTTTCCTGCTTGTCTACAATTTGATTCGTTTCTACGAAAAATGTTGATTCAGAAAACAGATTCCAGTATTTTTTAAAAATGTTCCATAGTTTTCCAAAGGAAGAATTACGATTAGGAATTGAAACAGAAGAACATCAAATCTTCAAACATTTTGCACGATTCCACGAGATTTCATCAATTGAAAACCATAATTGTTCCTCACACAATCAACAAAAATCAAAACAACTAATGATCGACCACAGCAAACTCAAAATAGTTCGAAAGCAAACTCAAAATAGATCGACAGAAAATGTAAGAAACGGGATCAATTGATGCTCCAAGCTCGCGACATACCTTCAAACGATCCACAATCTCGATTCTGACGGAACCTCGTAGAGCAAGATAATCAAAATTACGAGAAAACAAAATTTATCTCTTTCTACGTCGAACGAGAGGAAGAAGAGACTCTACAGAGAAGCTTCAAAGATCACAGATCTCTTGCCATTTTATAAACACACTCTCAAAACAGCGGAACACGACAAAATTTTGAAACAAAAAAAATCAAGCGAGAAGGATTTTAATTTTATTTTACTTCTCACTTTTTTTTCTTTTCGTCAATAATTTAAAAGATATTTCCTTCTTCATCAACACACCACCACCTGCGAAAATCACCGAGAGGCGCGTGGAGCCTACGGATACGAAACGGGCGGCTGAGAATCCACGCGCCTTTACGGCTTTTCTTCCTCCTTCTGATATCCGTTAAAAGCTTCGTCAAGTGGTTTTATTATCGCTTTATCAATTGAGACACGACTGTGCATGCTTTTAATCAAAAAAGAAAAAAAATAAATTGATCAAATTTAAGAGCCGTACAAATAAACAGATCGGTCTGTCCTTTGTGTTGTTCTTGTTCGGCGCTTCACAGCTCATAATTAGCTGTTCAAATAATTTTAGATTGATTTTTATTTTTATCCACAGGCTTTCTGTTTACTATATTAGGCCACTTTACACTTTCAAATACATTACGTTGCGGTGAAATCCTGGTTTGTCTGCTTTTATTTTAGTTAATAACAATTCGAGACAGGTATAGTAGTAGTATTGATTTAGTAAATCAAGTAATAAAAATCACTACAAGTGAAATGTTAACTAATAGTAGTAGACGTTAAATATATCTGTGGTCCAGAAGATAGCGTTATAAATATGAATTGGTCGATTAAACGTGTGCTATTTCTTATGTTCACTTGAATTGATTGTTGCCAAACCTTTTTCGTCATGTTAACATGTTCCTCCTTTTCATCAAATAATCTAACCAAAAACTAAGATGCGTTCTAAGGATCAATTTCTGGTATTCTCTTTTTGTATTTTACTTGGAAGGAAAATTTTCGCAGTATTCACAGTATGACAAAATGACATTTGATTAGTAGTTTAAGTTACACTAGTGTGTTTTTTCTACGTTTTTTTGACGGCGAGTTATTAGAGGAGTGTTATATTGTACTAGTACTTTTCGAAACTCAGTGCATGCTAAAATACTTTGGTCTCTAGCGGATTACTGTACACTAGCAAAACATTTCCTCATGTATATTTTCAAAGTTTTGGAACAGCTTAAACACGATGATTGATGTTGCACACAGTTTCACGAATGGAATTCGATTACAAATCAAAGCCAATGCAAGAAACGAAGAAATTTTTTTTCACAATACGTATAAAACTCTATGGAAATTATGTATTCAACTAATTAAACATGCCCAAGCAATGTCACACAACGAATCCAGGAGAATAGAATTCGAAGTTTCCCCAGTTTTCTTTGGTGTTCTCAATTATTTTCAAGATACATAACATATAAAATAATTTCCCCTAGAAATATAAAATAAAAGAAATCAACCTGTAGCACTGAGATTCATGGATCGTCTCAGAAATCGGAACATCGACCACGTTGTTCCCAATCGCCGTACCGAGTCGGCTCAGGACCTCTAGGCCCTCCGATCTCACCGGTATCTTTGTTCACAAACTCTCCACCTCCCTCTTCCTCTTCTTCCTCTTCCTCTTCCTCTTCCTTAAGATTCTGATCAGGCTTCCCAATCTGATCCTGATTCGGAGACGGAGATGGAGACTGCGGCGGAGGAGATGTACTGGAGCTTAAAAACCGTGATACAGGCTCCATGAATCTAGAGGAGGCGGATCGGCTTGGTGCGATCAAACGGACGATTTTGTTCGTCGCCATTGTTTGATTTGTCGGTGAGAACAGAAACTGATCTTGGCAATTTTGTGTTAAGCAGTATAGGGTTCCGTTGGCCATATATTTGGGCCGTAATTTGATAGTGTAAGTCCAATGGGCTTTCCTTTAGTCGGCAAAAAAGTCAAATGGGCTCTAGGCTGAATATTAAAACACTTGATTTCGAACCAACTTTCTCAGTGTGAAAACAAAAGCGATTCCATTAACTGGATCTCAGAGTGTAAAATCTGTTGCTTTTGTGCCACATCAATGGTTGGGAGTGGTTCGTCACTAAAGAAAGTCACAGGCTGTTACTATAAAACACGATATTCGCTATTTATTTCGTCTACCACGGAGTAGAATAAAATAAGTCGTATTTTTCTATCTTCACCGCTTCTCCTCCTCCAAATCTTCGCCGATCTCTCTCTACATCTCCGATCAACAATGAGCAAAGGTCCGGGACTTTTCACAGATATCGGCAAAAAAGCCAAAGGTAACATCATCATACGGCTCTTCCTCTATCATCCTTCTCTTGTCATATTTATTCCGGTTGAATTCGCGCAATTATTGCGTGCATTTATGGAATATGTTGCTCCTTGTTCATAGATTCGAAGTGCTGGTGTTTTAAATTTGTTATTCCTGTAGGTAAAATGATTGTTAGATTTTGATCCTGTTTGGGTTATTCTGTTGATTTTTAAGCTTATTCTGTTGATTTTATGTTTTCCTTCGTTGTTAGATCTGTTGACGAGAGACTACACCTCCGATCAGAAATTCAGTATCTCCACTTACAGTGCCTCCGGCGTGGTACGTATTATATCGATTCTATTTTCATACTTTCGTTCGATTTTGATTTCCATGATATATCGAGTACTGTTTTGTGATATCGTTCTGAGTCATTTGCATTTAGCTGCTTTTAAGAGCATATGTTTCCGGCCTGATCTTATCTTATCCGCTAGTGAAAATCAAATTCGTTAGTTCTGCATTAGATCTCTGGTACACGTCTAGGGATCTGACTTCTGAGAAACAGGACGAGTATAGGATGAAATTAATTCTGTTTAAGAACTTGTGTAACTTTGACTTTGGATACACAAGTTATTCTGTTTAAAATTTATTTGCAGCTAATGGCATTTTTGTTGTTAGCCATATCTAGCATCAGAAACCTAATGATTGTCTGAAATTAATCTAGCAGCTTAACTCCACTCCATGAATGGAGAGCCTTATTCTCTTGTCTGTGCTCTGTTGTTCAGGCCCTTACGTCTACTGCTCTGAAGAAAGGAGGAGTGCATGCTGCTGACGTTGCCACACAATACAAGTACAAGAATGCTTTGTTCGATGTCAAAATCGACACTGATTCTAGTGTAAGTCAATAGATCCAGTAAGCACTTTGTCATATAAAAACCATATGAGTTCGTTAAAGCGTGTTTGTATGTTTTTGCTTGTCAGGTTTTGACAACTGTCACATTCACCGAGATCCTCCCATCGACAAAAGCCATCGCCTCCTTCAAAGTCCCCGACTACAGTTCTGCCAAGGTTTATAACTATAGACTCCTTTTTGTATGAAGACACAATCTTTATCTTTCATCTGTTTGATATCTGAGTGTGACCCTTTCAACTTTTGAATTCCATTAACAGCTTGAGGTCCAATACTTCCACGACCATGCAACAGTTACCGCTGCTGCAGCTTTGAAACAGAACCCATTAATCGACATAACAGCCACTCTCGGTTCACCAGTCATCTCATTTGGTGCTGAAGCTGGATACGACATAACCTCCAAAACTTTCACCAAGTACAACGCCGGAATCAGCGTGACAAAACCAGACGCATGCGCTTCCATAATACTGTAAGAGGAGTGTTCCAATCTCAGTTAACTAGATGTGTCTTGTGTGGGTCTGATCTGATTTTTTTTTCAGGGGAGACAAAGGAGACTCGATCAAAGCATCTTACCTTCATCACCTGGACGAATTTAAGAGAAGCTCAGCTGTTGGTGAGTTTTACAGGAAGATCTCGACAAATGAAAACACTATAACTGTGGGTGGATTGTATGCAATTGATCATTCGACTACAGTGAAAGCTAAACTCAACAACCATGGCACGCTCGGTGCTCTTCTTCAGCACGAGGTCTTGCCTAAATCAGTAGTGACTGTTTCCAGTGAAATCGACACCAAGGCGTTAGACAAGCATCCAAGGTTTGGTCTCTCTCTTGCTCTCAAACCTTGAGAATATACACACTCATAAGACTCGCATGAGTCTCCGAACCTTTCTCGTATCCTCTCGAGAGTTTACGTCTCTGTTCTTTTTTGTTTTGGTTTTTGGTTTTTGTTTTGCGAATAAATAGCTCCGCAGTGAAATTGACGGATAATTCTTTTTCGGATATGGTTGGTTTTTTTTGACATTTTTCACTAAGCAATATTCTTTTCTTGGTACATTAAAACGCGGATGCCATTATATCGAGGAAGAAAGAAATGAGTTCAAGTCGTCACTTCTTTTAAAATAATTTACTTAGCTAAAATATAAGTGAAACCAGTGAAAATATAAAGTTTAAATTAGACCAGTTTCAGACCCTAATTTTTTTTCTATTTTCAAATTATTATTTTGCGTATGAATCAAATATCAGTTCTCCATGCGAGAGGCAAGTAACATATTTTAAACCTCAATAGCATATATGTAATAAGTGGTGGATGGTACATTCGTACAAAAACCACAAATTCGAATTAGTGTTCTGAATAATCGTCATCCTCACATCGATTTGGAATTAGAATTTCATAAAACTTGATACATAAAAAAGCTAGATAAATCTGGACTTGCCATTTTCTTCAATCTAAGCTCTGCATAACATCCTCCGCCGTGAATTTCATTTCCTTCTCCTGGTCCACGACGGCGCGTCCATTAGCCTTGCGCTCCAAAAGCGAATTCCTGTCCTTGTCGAGACGGAGCTTGGTGATCACTACATTCGATGCATTCACGCCGACGTTGACCGTCGTTCCATTGACTTTCTCCCTATTGACGGGTTTTTTCTGTGACGGAAGAAACCAGGGGTTAATTAATATGTGCTATAAAAAATGTCTGGAACGACGTCGTTCGAGCGTTAATTGAGAGACTCAGGGTCTCCTGAGTCCTGGCTCAGAAGGCTTAAAGAAGTTTTATAGAGGCTTTTCAAACCATTTACAAAGCCCAATTTAAAGGGAAGATTCGTGGGATTTCTGAAAATAACTTTTATAGAAAAAGAAAAGAATAAATCCACACATTAGTATACTTTGTCTGACATCATTTGATAAGGTTTATCTCTTTAACTAAGAAAACAAAACTTGCCAAATCACAATCGAGAAATGAGAATCTCTCTAACAACTGGATTAGGTGAATCGGACAAAGCCCACCGATGTCGTCACGTGCCGCCCACGGTCTTAATCATATAATTTTGTTTGTCAACGTGCGTCCATCGTGGCGTTCCAGACAAGGGAGAGAGTAAACAACACGTTTTATTCATTTTTTGAATAAGCCACACTAATTAATTATATGGAAGCTGGAGAAAAACATTCGTTGCATAATATAAATCGCATGAATAATCTAATAGCCCGTTCAATTGAACCCCGCGTTGAGGTGACCTGCTTCGATCCTTTCGTCGACTCAATCGAAATCGTGTGTTTTGAGATATGGATGTTGCGGCGGTGGCGAGATGTGTGGTAAGGTGCTATGTTTCGCCGGCGTTCGGGGAATCTGAACCGCTCCGGTTATCGGATCGGCAATTTCTGAGATTATCGTTGTCTGCTTCGCTTAGCCCACATCTTTCCGTAAGTCGATCTCTGAAGCTTCACGAGCAAAGTCACGAGAGGAGACTGAGCTTCTTCCGTCCGATCATGGCCACCGATGAGTCGATTTCATCGGATTGCGCCGGTAATAATCACACATTTCTGATCTTGTGATTTTGGTTTTGATTGCCATGTTTCACTCTTGAGTCTTAAGGACCTTATGATCTGACTTAAAAGCTAATGTCAACTGCCATGTTCCACATGTCTCTATTACATTATCTTTGTGAGATTTTTCTTCTATAGAATCCTCAGAACTCAGATAACAAGACCACAAAATACCAAAGGCGTAGAAAAAGTTTGGATCTTGAACATATGATCCATGATAAAGTAATCAAGTACGTTTATATGAATGGATCTAATCCCAGAAAATGTTAACTAGGTGAAACACAGCTAATCAACGGAAAGCAAAACAACATCGTCTGGCATAATTGTCCCATCACTAAATCCGACAGGCAACAATTGATTAAGCAAAAAGGTTGTGTTATCTGGATTACTGGCTTAAGTGGTTCAGGTTTGCGTCTTCTTACTCTGATTGATCTTTACTAACTATTTATTACAGGTTTTTTACTGGATTCCTTCAAATCTCTCTTTTTTATTTATTTATTTTGATTTTTCAGGGAAAAGTAGCTTGGCATGTGCTCTTAGCCGAGCATTGTACAATCGAGGGAAGCTTTCATATATCCTGGATGGTGACAATGTTCGTCATGGTTTAAACAGTGATCTTAGCTTCAAAGCAGAAGATCGAGCTGAAAACATTCGAAGAGTTGGTGAAGTGGCTAAATTGTTTGCAGACGCTGGAATCATCTGTATTGCAAGTCTCATTTCTCCTTACCGGAAAGAACGAGCTGCTTGCCGTGCTCTGTTACCGGAAGGAGATTTCATCGAGGTAATCATATATATTTACGGAATGTGAAAATCGTATAAGTTTATAGTTAATATATTGAAAGTCTTCCTCTCTTTATGTTCTCTTTTAAGGTTTTCATGGATGTGCCACTCCATGTTTGTGAAGCTAGAGACCCAAAGGGTTTATACAAGCGTGCACGCGCTGGGAAAATCAAAGGTAACCTATATGCATCTGTCTTCAACTTAGCCCAATTTGTTTGATCTTCTTTAGTCATACCTTCATGATCCAACCTATTTTAATTTTATGTATTTTTTTTTTGTTTCCCCAAAACATTTCTTGTTCAGGTTTCACAGGAATAGACGATCCATATGAACCACCTTTGGATTGCGAGGTCCGTATACATATCTTATAGGGAATCATCATATCCTATAATTATTGTTTTCCTGAATCATTGGCCTACTATGCTCTGCAGATTGTGATACAAAACAACGGAGACAATGGTTTTTGTTCTTCATCTTCATCTCTGTCTGAAATGGCAGATAACGTTGTGACGTACTTAGACCAAAATGGATACCTGAAGCCGTTCTAGAAAGTTGAAACACTCCAAAAAAGTCACATACGGATATGATTTATGTATATGTAACTTGTAATAGGCTCAAAAGTAATAATTCTCTCATGTATCAATCATTGAGCCGCGTTTAAATTGTTTAAATGCAAGAATAAAAATCATTATTGTAAAATTCCTTAACCTTTTGGATGTGACCAAGTGGAGAATGAGAATGAGAATGAGACATACTATATGGCCGCTAAGTTAATAATATACTTGGCGCCAACTCTCCGGGTGAATAACGTTATCAATGGTTTGGGTTTAAATTCATCGGCCCAAGTTTAAAAAGCAGGCCTTTTATAGAACCGGGTCGGATACTACTTGGGCCGAATCGGGCACTACGGCGGCGACTGATACTGCTTCTTCTATGATAAAGTCATAAAACATATACGCGGTGGCGAGGGAAATCTGTTTTAGATCTCTCTATCGGAAGGTCAGGGTTTCAGCTTCTAAAATCGAACTTGAAATCAACTTGCTCGTCTTATTTCGATCTGAATCCGAATCCTAATTTGGATTATTCCAGTCAATTAGGAGAAACCAGAGTCGAAGAAGAAGAAGAAGTAAACAATGGGGAAGAAACAGCACAGCAAAGATCGTATGTTCATAACGAAGACGGAGTGGGCAACTGAATGGGGAGGCGCTAAATCCAAAGAGAATCGTACTCCTTTCAAGAGTCTTCCTTTCTATTGCTGCGCGTATGTGGATTCAACAATGTTGTATGATTCTCGTTTGCAATTTCCGAATTTGTATTCAATCAAATTTTTCTGTTTCAGGCTTACGTTTCTGCCATTCGAAGATCCTGTGTGTACAAGCGACGGGAGTGTTTTCGAGTTAACGTGAGTAGTTTCATAGTCTAAGCATTGGAGTTTACTTTAAAAAAAAAATAAAAAATTACCTTCCTGAATTTGAAATTGAGTTTTTTTTTGTTTGTTGTTTTTAATTGCAGAACGATAGTGCCTTACATTAGGAAATTTGGAAAACATCCAGTTACAGGAGCACCATTGAAAGGAGAAGATCTTATTCCTCTCGTCTTTCACAAAAACTCTGAAGGTTATCTTCTTTCTTACTAATCTGATTCGTTAAGTGATTTTCATCGTTGAGATTTGCTGAAACATTTTTATGTGGCTGCCATTGTAGGAGAGTATCATTGTCCTGTTCTGAACAAAGTCTTTACTGAATTTACACATATAGTTGCTGTCAAGACTACCGGAAATGTATTCTGCTACGAGGTTAGTGTGAATTGTTTTCGTACTTTTTTGCGGGGAGTTATTCTGGTTTCAGTGATCCTTATTGTTGTCTGTATATGTATAGGCAGTCAAAGAATTGAATATTAAGACCAAGAATTGGAAGGAGCTTTTAACCGAAGAACCATTCACAAGAGCCGATCTTATAACAATTCAGGTAACTAACCTCTTTCTCTCTGCTTGATGCTTTTTGCAACTGGTTAGTGTCGCTATAGCATATTTACTTTTGTGTTTATAATGTTTTGCAGAATCCTAATGCAGTTGACAGTAAAATAACAGTGGAATTTGACCACGTTAAAAACGGTTTGAAGATTGATGATGAAGGTTTGATGCAGTTTTTTATTCGGGCTAGTTATTTATTATCACAATCTATGTTTTGATTTAGTGGGTTTTGACTCCATTCTCTTGTGTTTTTTCCCTACAGAATTGAAGAAGATGAACTCAGACCCAGCTTATAATATAAACGCCTCTGGAGATATCAAGCAGATGCTTGCAGATCTTGGAACAGAAAAGGCTAAGGAGATTGCTTTACACGGTGGAGGTGGAAACAAGGCACGTAATGAAAGAGCCGCTGCAATTGCTGCGATTCTAGAGTCAAGGTCGAAAATCAAAGAGGGTTCTAAAGCAGACGAGGCTACACCGAAGCAGACTTACAGTGTTGTTGATGCTGCATCTGCTTCAGTTCATGGAAGAAGTGCTGCTGCAGCTAAAGCTGGTTCTAGTGATCAAACAGCTGCAAGAATAGCTATGCATATGGCTGGAGATAGAGCACCTGTTAATTCTAAAATGGTTAGTTTTCTTGTACGGAGTAAGCGTGGTTTTAGCTTTGTGTGTGTTGTTGAAATGATTGGATTTTTTTTTTTTTTTTGCTCAGGTTAAGAGCCGTTATTCGTCGGGTGCTGCTTCTCGTTCTTTCACTTCCACCGCGTTTACTCCTGTCACCGAAAACGAATTTGAATTAATAAAAGTCGAGAAAAACCCGAAAAAGAAAGGGTATGTTCAGTTTCACACAACACATGGCGATTTGAACATTGAGCTTCATTGCGATATAGCTCCTAGAGCATGTGAGAATTTCATCACTCTCTGTGAACGAGGCTACTACAATGGAGTGACCTTTCACAGAAGCATCAGGTAAGTATGGAGTTTATTTTGTCGGTTTAAGAAAATTTGTCAGGTTATTCTCGACTAAACGTGTTCTTTTGACCTTTTTCTACGAAGGAACTTCATGATTCAAGGCGGCGATCCAACTGGCACAGGAAAAGGAGGTGAATCCATTTGGGGAAAGCCATTCAAAGACGAGCCAAACTCGAAGCTGCTTCACTCGGGAAGAGGCGTAGTTAGTATGGCTAATAGTGGTCCGCATACAAATGGTTCTCAGTTTTTCATCTTGTACAAATCAGCAACCCATTTAAACTACAAGCACACAGTGTTTGGTGGAGTTGTTGGTGGTTTAGCAACTCTAGCAGCAATGGAGAATGTACCTGTAGATGATAGCGACCGTCCATTGGTAAGTTCCAAAAGTCACTCACTGTGTTCTTGAGTAGTTTCAGCCTCCTGAGATGGTACTCTTTTTTTTTTGGCAGGAGGAGATCAAGATAATCGAGGCAAATGTGTTTGTGAATCCATACACGGAGCCTGATGAAGAAGAAGAAAAAGAGAAAGCTGAGAAAGAGAAGAACGAAGACAAAGACATTGTTAGTATCATCCCTTCCACCAAACACTCTCTCCCATCTTTCTCTTTACTTTCGATCGGTCTGATAAGATATTATATATGTACATTTGTAATGTGTTCAGGAGAAGGTCGGGTCGTGGTACAGCAACCCAGGATCAGGAACAGTAGAAGCTGGAGCCGGTGCCGGTGGTGTTGGAAAATACTTGAAAGCTAAGAGTAATATAGCCACTAAAGACACTAGTGGTGCCATAGACTCTGATCTTGCAACCGTTGGAGTGTCTAAGAAAAGAAAAACAACTTCTGCTTCAAACTCCACAGGTTTTAAAGATTTCTCTAGCTGGTAGCTGAAAACATTCTCTACCAACTTTGTAAAATTGTTGACTAGTCTTGATAGAAGCCCGAATCATAAAAGCATTATAGGACAACATTGAACCTTTGATTTTCCAAAGCTGAAGCTGAGTAAAAGATTTTTATTAGAAACTATAATTCTCACAATGGTGTATGAATGTCGCCTAATCTACAATACAAACAACAATGATCAGCACATGGTGAAAAAAACATATCTAGTTATTTGTTTGTCTGTTTTAAGGTAGATGCCATTTACTGTGCCAGTATATAGACACCCTCGACCACATTGGGAACCCGAAATTGGACTCTAAAGGCTGATCAGCCGGTCCTCCTATAACTAACGGTAACCACACGTATCTCGAATCCCGCAAATCCGCCGGGTTCCACCTATCTGCCATGAAGATAAACGCGCCGGTAACACCCGGTACAGGAATCACATACGTGCTCTGCGCAAAGAATGTTGTTAACCGGAAAACTTTGTTACCGCCAATACACGGATTCCCCAACTTCTCCCATGGACCCATTATTGATTCAGCCGCATGAGCCAAGGCTTCATTTGGTGCCCAACCAGTGCACCAAGAAGTGATCATGTAATAAGTGTTGTCATGCTTGAAGATAGCCGGAGCTTCCCTGTGTTGTCCAACCATTACTTTCCTCATAACCGGCGTCACATCGAGGTAATCTTCGGTTAATGGTCCGATATGAAGCACGCTGTTGACTTCAGACGAGTAAATCAGGTAAGCAACACCATCGTCATCTTTGAAGACAGTCATGTCCCGACTATCGAACCCGTGTGGACGTTTGCTGTATAGATATTCGAACGGACCTGTCGGGTTATCGCTAACGGCTACACCTACTGAAGCTTTAGTGTAGTTTGCGTCGTCGATATGCATCCACATCACGTACTTTTCTGTCTTTTCATTGTAAATAACTTTTGGTCGCTCAAGAACATTGGATTTATGCAGATCATGGGTCTTGTTTGTTTCTTCAGCTCCGAGTACAATGCCTTCGTTATTCCATGTCCATAAGTCTTTTGAAGAGTAACAACCTACCCCTATAACATCAACCTGAAGACGACACAAGATCGAAACTTTATCCCAAAATACCAACAAGGGAAACGTTAATATATAGTGAAATTATGGTGGTACTTAACTCTGGCTGGTCCTTTCTTGTGAGCATGGTAAGTAGGTCCATCTTTATATTCACCATACCAATAGTATGTGTTAGATTTCTCATCGTGTAGAATCCCTCCACCATGGGCTTGAATTGGATTCCCTTCTGTGTCCATCCAAATTTTCCCGGGCAAGTAATGCAGCAATGTATCGTTTCCCATACCCTTGGTGGGACCAAAGGAAGTGGCAGGAAAGAAAAGATGCCGAATTGGTGACTTTTCATCAAGAAACTCCTCAACCAGAGGGATCGGTTTTCTTGATTTCCGTTTGCATGTACGAGGAGAACGCTTTCTCGGTGGCGGCATTCTCAGTATCTCTTCTTCAACTCTTACAAGCTCATGAACAACAGGATGATGAATATGATGATGACGAACTTGTAACTGATTAGAAGGAAGCTCTTGATCGATGTTATCTTTTCTGCTATATAGCGAGATAAGATGAGCCACGAGGAAGAATCCCACGACGGTCCATACTATAGTAAGCAGTGAATATCTGCAACCTCCTGCATCATTGCAATGCCAAGATGTTGGTTTCTTATTGTGTTTGCTGTTCTTCATTATCTTCAGTCTTTCTTTTACCGCCAAGAAAACACTGTAAATAAACAATTGTAGATCCAAACAAATATCTAGTGCAACAAATTGGATCTTAGGAATCTCAAAATCAGCAAGAGATTGAAGAACTCTAAATCAGCAAAGGAAAATCAAGCTACCCGATATCAATTTCTTTCACCTAATTTAGTTACGTATTGATCTATTAAAATTATCAATTCTAATCAAAAATAAAATTCCATGGTGGATCGAACCTTGAAGTTCATTCGATGCGTTTCGAATCCATTAGTGTTGATTTGCTAAACTAAACAAATACGGCTCGATGAGTTATGCTGAAGCTGTTACTACGCAAGCTATGAGCTCAATTCTGGATATCAGATCCGAATGAGCAGAAGTTTGACACGAATCACCTCTAAAAATCCGAAGATAGTAAAAGACGAAATCATCGGAATCTTACCTGAAAATCCCCGGAGACCGAGAGAAGCCGAATTTCCCGACATGTACACAGAGGATTCAAAACTATCTAAGCTTTCTCCGAAGCATGAACCAAAATCCAGAACTTCTCTCAGATGTTCCGCATCAAGGATCTCGTCCTGGGAGCGAGATTAGGAAGCTGAATCGAGATCAATTTTTTAGAGATGTAGAAATGGGTAAAGTGATGAAGTTCTAGTTGAGATGGATCTATCAGTGAGAATGAAAGGAGGGAGAAAGAGAGAATGAGAGAGAGAGAGAGAGATTCTTTGATGATTCCGACGTGCGAACGACGACGACACTGATGATTCTAGTCTCCTTCTCCTCTGATTCAGCAGCTCTCGTAGATTTATTTTCTCCGTTCTCCGCGAGTTTTTCCCGTTGGATTTTATAATTATAACAAGTTTATTAATTAGTGCAATAATGACGATATCACTGATTAGTAATTTTCCTTTTTTTTTTCTTTTCCCATATAATTATTACTCTGTTTTCAGGATAAAATCCCACTTGATTTAACTGTAATTAACATGCATAATTAATAGTCTTAGTTTGTCACTCAAAATTATATATCATGCACTTGAACTGTGGCTTCCTGAGTTGAGTGGTTGACAAATTCGTTTTGCACCTTTCCCTTCTCTCTCATTAACTGTTTTAAGATTCAATTAGAAGATAAAACATATGATCAATGGTATTCTGGTAATAGTTATCGAATGTAGTAGACAAATACTTGTTGAGTCACACTTATTACATGTTTGATACAGTGTCATACTTACATTTTTTAATTTACTCTGTCTTTCACTGTTTTTTTTTTTCTCAACAAAGAAAAAAAAATGTAAATACACAAAAATCCATATATATATATATATATATATATATACAAAATCACCACTATATATTCACTAGTCGTATCTCTCTACAAGACGTTGGATTAATCGAAAACCAAGCAAAACTCTTTCCTTTCTCTTGTAAGGCTTTAGCAAGGAAGAGCAAAAGCAGAACCTTCATGATAAGAGAGAGAGCAAGCATCAATGCCCAAAGCCGATACATGGAAGCCCTAAAAGGTTTACACTGGTTAGAGACGATGCTTGATAACGTGTCTTTCACAGCAAGGCATTGTGTTAGGTTTTGTAGAGAAGGCAAGATGTCGAGCATGCCTTGAGCTGAGTTACTGTAAGCATAGACCTTAAGGTAAGCTGCTTCCGGGATGAATTTTCCGGTGATTCTACAGGTTTCCGGTGGATCTTTGCTGTGGCATGTGAATCTTGAAAGGATCTAAGAACACATAAAGGTTTTTTCTTTGTTCAGTTATATGTCTTAAGAACAAAACCTAAACGATCCAGAAGTAATTTGGTTAAACTTGGTTACTCTAATAAACGGATTTAAAAGGCATACATTTGGGAATTCGCCGATTGGAATGGCGCCATTGGAGCAGCTTTGTGGAGTGTAGCTGTTAATCTGTTGTCCGACAAACGGATCACATATCAGTCCAGATTCCGGCACCGACGAGACTGTCTTGCTCCCATCAGTCAACGCATTAGAACGCATCGAATCTGCTACTTTAGAGTTTAACTGAAAGAAAAGAAAAGAAAAAAAAAACAAGAAACAGAGGATTTAAGATTTTACTATTCTTGATTCTTGGAATTAAAGATAATTTGATCGGTTTATACCTCGGTGATGAAGTTATGGATCATTAAGCTGACTTCGATTAGGGTTTTATCAGAACGAAGAGGATCCATACAAGGGAAAAGATTAGTCAATGTGCTGTTTTGTGGGTTTTGCACGAAACCAGTGAAAGCTGAACAAACGTCTTCTGCGAATCTGCGTTGAGTGGAAACTGAGGAGTTAGGAACTAGGAACAAAATGGGAATTTTGGGTTTTAGGGTTTAATTTGCTTACGTGTGAAGGAAGAAATCGAATCCAGTTAAAACCCAACAAAGAGTGGTTAAGATCCAACACAAGAATATCACCCTTTTTAGGAACAAAGAATAAATAAAATAAGTAATTGATCTTATAAAGGTTAAAACCCAATGGAGCAAAAACAATGCTGTATTCAGATTTCGATTGCTTACATAATGAATCCAGGGTGCCAATGAAGCAAGAGAGGAGCTGAGAAAGAGAGACATAAGCAACAAGATGGATAAAATTTAGTCTAAGAAAGCCTAATAAAACCCCTATATAACTAAACCTTTAAATAATCATAAAAAGATTTCACAGTTTTAGTGAATGAAAATGATCTCACCAAAGGCTAGAAGCAGAACGAACAAGTTGGTTGATGTAATCACAAGATGAGATACATACCTGAGAAAAAAAAAAAAACAGAGCAGAACAATGTTGAATTTTTGAATCAGAGTATATACACACACACAAATAAAAAGATGAGTCGTTAAGTGAGTCATACGAGATTTTGATGGCGAGATCAATGGAACGACCGTTGTGATGAACGAAGCTATGAATAAGCCGAGATCCTTTGCCGAGTCGATGGGTTGTGACATTGAGAAGATGAGTCGTTTCGTGATCGTAGGGAAGCAACAAGTATTGTATCTTCGTCAGCGACGTTATCACTGTACGGATGTTTCTCTCAACATCTTCTCCTGCTTTGTCTATGGTTTCTTTCATTCCCTCTGTTTTGTTCTTCGAGCTCTGGTTCGCTGCTATCACCATCCCTGTCGTTGCCCTGTTTTTAACCGGATTTAAACCGAAACGAATTTTACTAGTCGTGCGTGTACAACAAAAAAAAAAAATTGATTCGAAAGTATTGAAACCGAATAAGAACAGAGGAAGACAGGAAAAAATAAAATAATGAAAGCCAATAAGCGAGAAAAGTTAAAAAAGCTTACATGGAGAGAATCATAAAGAGGAGGAGAAGTAAGAACAGAGGAAGACAGTAACGGTCGAGATATTTGCGGCGCGTGGAAGAAACGCGTTTCCTTTTGTCGGAGAAAGCTATGTAAAGTGCCAAACAGACGCCGGCAATGATCAACACTCCGGCGACGGCGTAACCGTGGATTCCGATAAATGCAGTAGCCTGAGATTCCATTAACTCTTAAATTACCATTTTTTAACGTCAATGTTGATCACAAAAATTAGAAGAAGAGAGACTCACTGCCCAGTAATGCTTGTCTCTAACATCGAAACCTCCATCGTAATACCTAAAGCTGTTGAGAGGATCACGTCTCTTAAACCTCTCATGATCTCCACCGTCCGATAAACCGGAAACCGCCAAAATCGGAGAAATTACGGCTGTTAAAAGGAGCTGAGATAATATTCCGGTTATTCTTGATTTTGTCATTGTGAAGAAGTCGATGATCGAAAATCATGTTACTCTTTTTGTTTTGTTGTTGCTGGACTCTTTGAATAAAAAAAGATTTACGAGACTATATTTATTATTATATTTTTGCCTTTCTTCTTCGAGTTTCTGGCTTACTACCTAAGGTAAGGATAGCTTGTGGCTACATTGTTCTTAAAAGATTTTGTCTTTTTTTTTTCTTTTTAATTGAAGAAAGGAGAGTGATTAGAGTAACGTATCTGGAGCCGTTTTCTATGGTTTTAACTTGACTCGCTCTTTTTGTTTACAATAACTTTTCTACTAAAATAGTGAAAAGAAGGGGAAAAATATCAAAATATACACTTTACTTGTTATTAACGAGTTTTTGATATTGTACTCATATGAAAGAGTCTCGACATCCTTCTCATATGAAAGTTTTTGATATATCATCACTCTTGCTCACAAAACACAAAGGTCTTCTTATCTTATATGAGAACAACCTCTTCGATCTTTCTTTCTTTACCACCCACAAAAAGCGCAGATGATATCGGTTGTCTACTCAAACCCAAATTTTATCTTATATTTTTCAGTCATTTTACTAATTAAAATATCAGAGAATCTTAAGAAAAAAATGCGATGATCATGTAAGTAGACAATTATAGACTTTTTACGTAACATATGTTTCAATGGATGATCTAGGATGGAATAGTTTTATCTCACAATAGTATAATAGAACTATTCCGAATCTTAATAAAACTTTATTATATGAAAAGTTAAACTATGCTATTTCTGCGTTGTTGTTTTTAAAAAAGAATGACTTGATCGGAAGGTTTAAATAGTTGTAGACTTTTAGTTACACTTATAAACAAAATCTGAAACATAAAAGGGACCTGTGGACGTAATTCAGTCTTACAGTGGGATATAAAGCCCATAATTAGTGGGCTATAAAGCCCAAAATCAAACCCAAATCTCCATTTTTGGCCTGAACGGCGCGTATAAGTGCAGCTTATAATCCTAAATATTCAAACCTCGCAGCCAAATATCTCCTGGAATCGCCACACCACCAGCTAATCATTGATTGGTGGCTAGCACGCGCCTCCATAACGCGACTGGTAGCGTGATTTACACATTCTTTTGTTTTCCTATAAAATCTATTTCTTCTTCCGAACTTCTCTCTGTCCCATCGAATCTTTCTTCTGATTGGTTGAACACATATTTAATAATTACAATATAGCTCCATGATTTTCGCTCTATCACACACAGCTTCTGTTTCCCTAAACAGATCCGGACCGTTAATCGCACGACTCAGAGGGACCTACACTGATTTAACGGTTCAGATTTTCGTGACACTTTAATTTTAATTCGCCGGCTCTCTTGCTGTATTTTCGATTTTGACAGAAACAAAAAATCTTGATGAGGTAATAATATCAGCAGCGAAGAGCGGAAGAAGGCAAAAAAAAAAAAAAAAAGAGAGAAGCTTCCATTTAGCCCATAGAGATCCGTTGAGGAGAATTTCTAGCAGACCCGATCTGTCGTCTCTGTTTCTACGAATCTCTTTCTCTGTCGGAAACTTGAGAGTTTTCTGAATCATAAAACATGGGTTTGTGGGATGCTTTTCTCAATTGGCTTCGCAGGTTAGTTCCTATTTCTTCTTTCTTCAATCTGCCTTTGTTGGTTCGTGGGATTTTGATTTGGATTGTCTCTCCTTGGTATTTGAGCTCAATGACAGGACAAATGAAACTATTTCCACCGAATTTATTTCTGATTTGTAATTTTATAACGAATAGGGATTTTTAGCTGAATTCATTACTGATGCGTTGCTTCATATATATATGATGGGTTTCGCTGAGAGTACCAAAATCAAAACTCTCTAGCTTTTCCAGCTTTTGAATTTGATGTGATCCCCAATATCCATCTTGAAGGCTTTGATTAGACAATACAATTGGGAAAATCCATCTTGGATCTAAATGGTTTATTAGAAGATGAAAAGTGCTTCCCAAAGAGCAAAGTGAATAGGGTTGTGAGTAATGAGATGTATAAAGAATCATAGTTTTGAGAGCAAGAGCTACTTGGTTGTTACCTCCAAGTAACTCCTCTTGTTTCTTAGGCGTGTCGAACGAGTTTGGCAAATCTCAAATTTTCCGCACTATTGACTCGATATGCCTTTTTGCAGCCTCTTCTTCAAGCAAGAAATGGAGCTTTCATTGATAGGTCTTCAAAATGCAGGAAAGACATCACTTGTTAACGTTGTTGCGGTAAGTATGCTCTCTTACAGACCGTTTCGTTCTATCTTTACCTCTCTTAACTCCTATTGATGTCTTTCCTTGTTCAGACCGGTGGATACAGCGAAGACATGATTCCTACGGTGGGATACACGTACTCCCTATGATGTTTACTTTTAGTTAACCTAAGATTTGCTCGCTTTTGGATTAATCGTAAAGAGGGTTCTTCTACTCCTTTCAGGTTGGCTTCAACATGAGGAAAGTGGTAAAAGGAAGTGTCACAATCAAACTTTGGGATCTCGGTGGTCAACCTAGGTTCCGCAGCATGTGGGAACGCTATTGCCGTTCTGTTTCCGCCATTGTGTAAGAATCTAATGATTTCGTTATTTTCACTATTTCGGTCAGCTTTAGGTTTTCAAATCACAAAAACTCTCGACTCTTTCCACAATTTGATACTGATTCCAGGTATGTAGTTGATGCTGCTGATGCTGACAACCTCAGTGTGTCGAAAAGCGAACTCCATGATTTGTTGAGCAAGACGTCGCTTAGTGGTATCCCTCTTCTAGTCCTTGGAAACAAAATCGACAACCCTGCTTCTTTGTCCAAAGAAGCCTTCACCGAGGAAATGTAAGCCTTTAACCCGAAACACAACAAAAGACACGGCTTTTTAACTTCGATTCTGAAAATGTTTTCTATATGGTTTGCACAGGGGACTCAAGTCGCTTACAGATAGAGAAGTCTGTTGCTTTATGATATCTTGCAAGAACTCTACCAACATTGATTCAGTGATCGATTGGCTTGTAAAGCACTCGAAGTCAGCAAGCTAAAATTTGCGCCAAAAGAACACAACTCTGTGCAAGTTTTCCTGTGTGTTGCTCCTTTGATGATGATGATGGTGATGGTGGGAGAAGAGAATTTTCTTTTCTTTTATATTATCCTGTGAAACAAGATTTGTCTTTGTTTTCTTCTAATTCTCTGCGTCTTCCGCTGTTCTCTGTATATTATATTCGATTGGTTTTCTTCTTCTCAAGCAATGAGATTTACCTTCCTTCAGGGTCAGAATTTTCAGTTTTACGAGTTCATTGCATAATCTGAAAGAATATAAAACATACGGGCGTAGTTCATAATTAGGAAGAACCTAAAGCCAAAAACGGAGATTTAAACTAGCGATAGGATAGAGTGATAGACTTTACGCTTCACTTGCACTATTCCTCGCAACAATGGACGCTTCGGTTGTGAGATTTTCCCAATCGCCGGCAAGAGTGCCACCGGTATTTGAACCAGATACGGAGAAGATTAAACGGAAGCTGCTGAAGTACGGTGTTGATCCTACCCCTAAAATCCTGAGGAATCTCCAAAAGAAAGAAATTCAAAAACACAATCGGAAAACCAAGCGCCAAGTCGAGTCCGAGGGGGAGACATCGCAGGTGTATACGGAGGCGCAGAAACAATCTATAGAGGAAGAAGCTCATTTCCAAACCGTGAGGCGGGAATATAAGCAATTCACGAGGACAATTTCGGGAAAAAGAGGTGGCGATGGGGGAAGGATGGACGGTGGATTGATAGTGGGGAATCCATGGGATGGAATCGAGAGGGTGAGATTGAAGGAGCTCGTTAGTGGTGTCCGTAGAGAAGAGGTCAGTGGCGGTAAACCGAGGAAAGAGAATCTAAAAGAGCTGAAGAAGATACTCGAGCAGGATCTCCGTTGGGTTCTCGAGGACGACGTTGATGTGGAAGAGTACGAGATGACGGGAATCGAGGATAGAGACTTTGATCCTGCGAAGCGGTGGCGCAATGAAGGAGAAGCTGTGAGAGTTCTCGTTGACAGGTTATTTCTCTTTTCCTTTCACAATTACATTTCTGGATAATTTCGAAACTTATACGAAATAGAATGCGTTGACTCACGAGGGAATTGATTTGCCATTAGGTTGAGTGGTAGAGAAATCACTGAGAAGCACTGGAAATTTGTGAGGATGATGAATCAATCAGGGCTTCAGTTCACTGAAGATCAAATGCTTAAGATTGTTGATCGATTGGGACGTAAAAAATGCTGGAAACAAGCTTTAGCTGTTGTTCATTGGGTGTATTCCGATAAGCAGCGTAAACATCTTAGGAGCAGGTGATGTTTCTTGGCGATTTAGCTCCATTTGTTCATTGATTTCATGGAGTGTGGACTATTCATCGAAAGATTTTAAACTTTCATGGCCATCATTTTTATATAAATTTTAAACCTTTACAACACTGGTTTCTACAGGTTTGTTTACACCAAACTTTTGTCTGTTCTTGGGTTTGCAAGGAGACCCCAGGAAGCTCTCCAGATATTCAATCAGATGCTTGTAAGTAACTTCTGATTTGAGTCAATTCATGATTAGGTTGATGCAGATGAACATCATACAATAAGCATTTTCGTTGCAGTTTTTGGATTAACTCTCATCGCTTAGTCACTTTAGGGTGATCGCCAGTTGTATCCTGATATGGCGGCATACCACAGTATTGCCGTAACACTTGGGCAAGCGGGTTTCTTGAAGGAGTTGCTGAAAGTAATCGAGCGCATGAGGCAGAAACCAACCATGCTCATTAAGAATTTGCGCCAAAAGAACTGGGATCCTGTGCTTGAACCTGACGTGGTTGTGTACAATGCTGTAAGTGAGCATTTTCGAATTTTGAAAAAATTTCAATATATACATGCAGCGAATCGTTATGATCCATTCTTGGCTTAACTGGTCCCCAGATTCTAAACGCTTGTGTTCCATCACTCCAATGGAAGGCTGTTTCCTGGGTATTTATAGAGTTAAGAAAAAATGGTCTGAGACCTAATGGAGCTACATATGGACTTGCGATGGAGGTAGTGTTCCAACTCAAACGAAATGTTCTAGATGATTTTGGGTTAGATGCGGTGTAGTTGTAGCGGGTACACTCAAATATGTATTCAGTGCTGTCTTAAGATATGGCTTGTGACAGGTTATGCTGGAGTCAGGGAAGTATGATCGTGTTCATGAATTCTTTAGGAAGATGAGAAGCAGTGGCGAAGCTCCAAAAGCAATTACGTACAAGGGTTAGCTCTTGGTTCTCACTGTATTTAGGTTTTTTTCTTTTTTTTGGTATTTACGAGGTGATATGATTCTTATGGCACGTGATTGATTCTCAGTTCTTGTACGAGCTCTCTGGAGAGAAAACAAAATCGAGGAAGCTGTTGAAGCAGTCAGGGATATGGAACAAAAGGGAGTTGTAGGCACAGGTTCAGTTTACTATGAATTGGCATGCTGTCTCTGCAACAACGGGCGTTGGCGTGATGCAATGCTCGAGGCAAATTACCTCTTATTTTGCCATTTTTGCTTCTCAGTAAAACCCGCGAAATTAATTTTCTTCAGAATGCATTTACTGCAGGTGGGGAGGATGAGAAGGCTTGAAAATTGCAGACCCCTCGAGATTACCTTCACAGGACTCATAGCGGCTTCACTGAACGGTGGTCATGTTGATGATTGCATGTCTATATTCCAATATATGAAAGATAAATGCGACCCGAATATAGGAACCGTGAACACGATGCTTAGAGTTTATGGAAGGAACGATATGTTTTCTGAAGCTAAAGAATTGTTTGAAGAGATTGTCCGTGAAAAAGAAGCTCATCTGGTCCCCGACGAGTATACATACAGCTTTATGCTTGAAGCTTCAGCTAGATCACTCCAATGGGAATACTTTGAGCATGTGTATCAGACGATGATTCTTTCCGGGTATCAAATTGATCAAACAAAACATGCACCAATGCTTATAGAAGCATCAAGAGCTGGGAAGGTAAGGAATCCTCACATAGTTAGGTTTTCGTTTAGTGTTTATGGAAGCATCTTGAGCTATGTAATTTTGTTTGTAAATGCAGTGGAGTCTTCTAGAGCACGCCTTCGATGCAATTCTTGAAGATGGAGAAATCCCTCACCCATTGTTCTTCACCGAAATGCTGTGTCATGCGACAGCTAAAGGCGATTACCAAAGAGCAATCACACTGATCAACACCGTGGCTCTCGCTTCTTTCCAGATCAGTGAAGAACAATGGACTGATCTTTTCGAGGAGAATCAAGACTGGCTTACTCAGGAGAATCTACAGAACCTCTGTGATTATATCCTTGACTGTGATTATGCAAGTGAGCCAACGGTCGCAAACCTCTCAAAGTCATTGAAGTCTCTCTGTGGGGTTTCTTCTTCCTCTTCTTCAACAGAGCCATTGTTAGCCATTGATGTAACAACTCATAGCGAGAAACCGGAGGAAGATTTGCTGTTTCATGATACAAGAATGAAAGATGGGAATGACGCCAAAGGTGAAGCTTGGGAATTTACGGAGACTGAACTCGAGACGTTGGGTCTTGAAGAACTCGAGATTGATGATGATGAGGAATCAAGTGAATCTGATTCACTTTCAGTTTATGACATTCTGAAAGAATGGGAAGAGTGTAGTCAGAAAGAGACTTGAAATGCTTGTAAATTTCTCGGAATCTTCAATCTAGTAAAAGAATAGAACAAAAACTAATTTACTTTTTATTCATTGCTCTTCAACCCAGTTTCAAGATTACTAAGCAAATCATCCTCAAACAGAAAAAAAAAAAAAAAAACAGGTCTTACAGAATCTCAGAGTTATGAACATAGATATGATCAAACTTTGCGGATTTACACTGTTACTAACCCCAAAAAAAAAGAGAAGAAAGGTTTTGAAAACTTTTAAACTCTGCAGGTGATGAGATATCGCCTGATTCAAGATCGAAACTCTTCAAACTGGTAACGGTGTGTATATATATATAAGGGTTTGCTCTGTTATAGAATGAATTTTCCCATGATGGTGTTTTACCAAGTATGATTACGGATTTTGAACTTCAAAGCTTTCATGGCTGCCTTTGCAAATATCTGAGCAGCTTCAGCTTCGGCTTCTGCTCTTTCCGCCTCTTTTGATGCTTCTTCAGCCTCTGTGATTGCAAATTCTGCCTCTGCAACTGCTCTTGCAGCAGCTTCTGCAGCTTCTGCAGCTGTCATGCCTTTTATCATAAATAACTCCCCTTCTGCTCGGGACTTGTTGCCGTTCTCCTCGGGTTTTGGTGCGTCTTTTTTGTTATTTCCTTCCACAAACAGTTGATGAGACTTCTGTCTTGCTCCTAAGCTATTAAAATTAGTAGAAAACCTGTACTTGTGCTTTATCTGTAAGTGAGAAATCCCAAATCAGAGTGTTATAGCGAAGAGTTTGTAATAAAAAAAAATCTTGAATCAAAAAAGTTGTATGTTACCTTAACTAATGGTCCATTTGATGATAGATGCTTTAATCTTACTGCCACATGTCTTTTCATATTAGGCGGAGTCTTGAAATTCTCCTGAAATTTTACAGCTACTAAGAATACGGAAAAAAACCCCCAAAGAAACATAGAATATCAATGCTAGAGTTACCTCTATATACAGAAAGATCGATGTTCTGTCAGAACCGCGTGGTTCCTTCAAGTTGGTAATTGCCTCCAAGATGATTTTATCCAAACTACAAGAACAGATAATAGCTCAAGATATAATCTTTACGAACTTATAAGACAAAAATTAAGATCTTTACGTGGTGCATAAAAACCAGGACTTAGAATGAATCAAACCTTGTAATTGATCTCTTTGAAGCACAAGTTCGTGGCGATCCACCACCAGAACCTCCAGGCGAAGTTGGATTTGCCCGTTCTTCGTCATTCGCCAAAGGCAAGATGCTAAGCGTTGCAGTGTTGTTATCATCTTGTTTAGGAGCTGGCTGTGTCCTTTTAAGTGCAAGTTTAGCCTTCTTCCTTGAACCCCATAACGCTGTCACGCTTATATTTCTCCATTTGTCCTGTTACGCTTTGAACTATCAAGATTAATCCGAAACATGCAATTAACAAACCCAAACAAAAAGCAGATATCTTTAGCCAAAACCCATGAATTACTTGGAAGTGCCACAGTTTCTTGTTTTGAGGTCTAAAATGTTTACCTTGAGATCAACATTTGAACGAGACTTAAGAACTAAACTAAACTCAGGATCCGAGAGTATTGTACGCCACTTCCCAGTCCCGTGCTTAAGTACTCCAGCTTTAAGAGCTGCTTCTTCTTCAGGTGTCCACTTCTGCTTTGGGGCACCCATCCACAGTTATCAAAAGAAACTAAAGAATTCTAATATGTTGAAAACTCTTCTCCTTCTTTTTTCTGCCAAGAGATGAAAACACTACAAAACCTTAGAATCTGTGAAATGGGTTATAAACAAAACGACTAAAGCTATGAAGCTTAACAACATCTACGCCATTTTAAGAACATTTTGAGTACCAAAGTATTCTTATCCACAAGAATCTAATATTTTCAATTTAAACAAGCTTCTTAAAAATCTTACGTACTTGTGCTTAGACCGTAGAGGAAATTTGTTCATTTAACAAGAGATTTGTGAATGCACAATGAAAATCAATCTTATCCAGTAGATGCACGACGCCAAAACATACAAATGTAATTACAGAAATCGAAAAAAAAAAGTGACGGAGAATTAGATACATCCAATGCTCAATTCAACAAATCAACGAGTGATTCGAGCGATTTCTAACCAGAAGAGGATACAATCTACCATGTTTTCCAGTGATTTCACCAATAACAAAAAAAAGATCCAGTGACGCCGTTGTTCAAATCGACATGAATATGGAAATTCCGCCAACAATTAATTATATACATCATAAGCGAAATCACCCAAAAACAAAAGTAAATCATCGAAAAAAATCAAATGCTACGATCGGAGAAAACGATAAATCTCAAAATGGAAACCCAGAGAACCAATAAAAAAAAAAAAAAAAAACTAGAATTGAGGGAGGAGAAGAAGCATGCCCGATCAAATGGAACCAAAGGAGAGTTTTTCAGAGAGACAATTGATGATGAAAGCTAATTCTTTGTGCAGATGTGTCATGGATCAAATGTGAATCTTAGAAATTCGCTGAAACGAACGAAGAAGAAGACCATAGAGTAGTACAAGGCTGAATATCCATAGAAATGGAAAAACTTGAGCTTTCTTTTGTATGAATATTACACAATAAAACCTATTAGAGCTACGAAGGATGTAGCCCTTTATTTCTCCAGATTCACAAATTTGCCTCAAGTTGTATCAAGTTACTCAATAACGCCTATTATTATTTATCTACATGATTATTTAACTTAAAAGTTAGAAAACTTAACATTAATTGTAATACAGTAAGATAATTGTACATAAGTCATATGTGTGTCAGTGTATGTGTGAGAGAGAGAGTATAAACCAAACAACATACCATTAGTATTCTATTATTCAAAAAAAAAAATCCAATGATATTAAAACCAATAATTTTTAGATAAGATATAGTAAAAAATTTATAAATAATAGTGTTAAAATTTTGATATTTTACGAATTTAGAGATTATTAATTTATGGACTTTAATTAATCAATAAAACTAAAAATTTAATATAAAAAGATTTATTTTAAAATTTATAACTTTTTATAACTTTTTATAAAAGTTATAATTTTTTTAATAAGATATTATCAATTTCCGCTAGTTTATAATAAATTATTATCATTATCCATAATGATGACAATGATATGATATATTTAAAAATAATTGTGCATAAGAATTAATTATCACATCAAATATTTCTTATAAATTTGAATGTAATCCAAGAACTAAATCAAAAAAAAATTGACGCAATAATAAAAAAATTAAAGATGAAATCCAAAAAATCACTTATAAAGAGCAAACAATACTAGATTGTGGGAGATTTTTCTAAAGGAAATTGAATAAAAAGGTACATTGGGTTTGGGTTAATTGATCTCACAAATAATATAGGGGGTGATAAAGAGTTACATATGGTACTAAGGCCGATACGATAATTTAGAAATTGTTTGATGGCTGAATTGAAAATTTCCCTGTTTTATTATTTATCGTTTTCCCTTCCCTTCACCATTTTCCTAAAAATCTACGGAATAGAAACGAAATTAAGAGCTCAGACATTTTCCAGATTTCTCATTTGCGTGAAATGGCGCTTCGTGCTACTCAAGGGACTGGTCGTATCGCGGCGGCGCTCCGGCGTGTCGCTCGGCCTTTCTCGACAGACGCGGTTGTTGAGTCGGATTACAAGCGTGGTGAGATCGGTAAGGTCTCCGGAATCCCAGAGGAGCATCTTACACGAAAGGTAAGTAATTTCTTTCGATTTCTTCGTTTCTTATGAAATTTAAGTTTAGGAATTAGGTTTTCTACGGATTTGAAGTGCGGAAAAGCTTAAATCGTGATCGGGAATTTGTCTTTTTCCGGGGAAATCGAGCTAACATTGATGGTGTTCTTGGATTGATATTTGTCAATCGGTTGTTCTTTAATTATCTAAGTTAATCAAATTTGGAATTTACAGGTGATAATATATTCGCCTGCTAGAACTGCTACCCAGCAAGGATCTGGAAAACTTGGGAAATGGAAGATTAACTTCGTATCCACCTTAAAGTAACAATTTTGTCCATTCAATCTCCCTAATTTCTTAGTTTTTTTGTCTTTTTTTGTATAAAAAAAAAATTGAAGATTGAGAATCGTCTTAGTGTATAGTTTTTGTGGCTCATCTGATGTAACGAACACCTAAAGATACATGTTACATCCTCTTGGATCCTCATATGAGTCTTATGCTTAACGTCGCTGTTCTTCTGCTTGCCTTGTTCAGACCAATAGCTTCTGGTGTCAGTAAATTTGGCATTTGATATGGTTGTAGGTGGGAGAATCCATTGATGGGATGGACTTCTACAGGTGATCCCTATGCCAATGTGGGTGACTCCGCTCTTGGTTTTGATTCAGAAGAAGCTGCCAAGTCATTTGCAGAGCGTCATGGCTGGGACTATGTGGTATGGTTTCCTTCTCCTTTACATTTTACGAGCCCCTTTAATATAGATTACTGAAAAACGCACGCCTGACTCATGGCAGGTCAAGAAGCCCAAAACACCGTTATTGAAGGTTAGTAAACTATCTATCTTTTCAGCTAGTGCCACTTGTGACTAACGATCTCTCCTCTTCTCATAGGAGGTGCTTAAGCCTACGCTTGGAATCCTTGAATGTTATAAAAAGCTTATGTTTTTATATCTCTAGCTTCTGATTAGTGCCATTAGAGAAAGAACTGCTTATGCTTCATCATAACTGGTTTTGCTGCCTTAAGACATAGAAACGGGTTTCAATAGTGATTTATTTATGATATTAACTCATCGTCATACAAGTTAATTAATTTGGAGATGGTGATAGCCTCTTTCTCTCTTTCTTTCATTCTTCAGTTTGAAGTTTTAATAACCTAAATAACCCCGTTATGATGGTTTAACTACCACATCTGCAGGCAAAGTCTTACTCGGACAACTTCAAGTGGAAAGGCAAACCTCAACCAGAAAATTGATCTTTCATCTTCTTCTTCCATCACTCGATCAAAACGAGAAACCTCATTTGATTTATATAAAAACTCTCATGTTTCTTTGTTCTTTAGCATCTGTGAGCTTTTTGTCTGAACTGATATCCATGGTTGGATTTATTTCCTTATTACAATAATATGATGACGACAAACACTCCTTTGATATTTCATTAAGCTTTCTGATCAATTTACTGGTTTACTTCTCGATAGTTTCGATTTCGTGCAAGGCAAAGAGAGAGAGCGAGATGGGTCATGGTCGAGTCAATAATCCACAAGATGCAAAAATTTAAAGACATAGTTCGAAACGAAAGAAAGATAAACAACAAAGAACGAGACAACGTCTTTGTCTTTTACATTACATATAATGAAATAGAATCATCAATCAACGCATAATCCTCCGATCAGAAACATGCATCCAAGAGACAGCAACAACAGAGCGCAGCCAAACTGTGGGTTTAGAAACCGCGTTATTCGATTAAGAAACCGCCGTTCAAAAAGGAAAAAAAAAAAAAACCAAAAAATTAAAAATGAAAAAATAGAGAGATGGGATCAATCAAGAACGTACCATCCTTCGAGCATACCGACTTGTTGCTTTTGTTGCGGAGCTTGAGAGTACTGCTGCGGAGGATATCCTTGTGCAGGGTATCCCTGAGCATATCCCGGCGGCGGATAACCGGCCGGAGGATAACCGGCCGGAGGATAAGCGTCCTTAGGAGGATACCCTTTAAACCGGGATCCAAGAGCAAATTTAAACCAGTAGAGAAGAAGATAAAACCGAATAACCAAATTTTAAGAAAAGAAAAAGAAACATTACCTTGGGGCGGAGGGGCACCGACAGGATGTTGTTCTTGATTATACATCTTTCTTCTTCTTCTTCTTCTTCTTCTTCTTCTTCTTTTGATTTCTTTGAGCTGTCTCTTTGTTTCTCTCTCTCCTTAGTAAGCAATCTCTGTTTCTTTCCTTTATAGCGAAGTAATGCCGGTGAGGAATAATATTTTCTTTTTCTCAAATATAATTGGTTCTTCTTTAAATTTTCTTTCTTTATGGATTAGTGATATATATTATAATAAAACAAATAGAAAAGAAAATATTCTTACAAAAAGTCTTTTTTGCATCATAAAAATTAGGTCATTTTCTGTGCTTGACCTTGACCATACAGTTTTGTTTTTTTTTTCGACGACTTAAAATGTAAAAGATTGTAGAAGAGAACTTAAAATAAACGACCTCCTCGCTTGAATAAAAACTTTTGGAAATTTCAAAATTCGAAAAAGTTCCACCCACATGCTAGTCTTGGTTCCCATGACATTGATGATCTTATTATAATATTCGAATAATCTAATTATATCCATATAAGTAATAAGATTCACATCATCATAGAAAAAGTAGAACCCATTAAAGAAACAATGCATTGTCTACACACAAACATGATACAGCCTAAAAACCAATTAGCATCATTACAAGAAGTCGTGGCAATATCAGCCACAAAAAGCTAAAACACTAACAAAGTCATATAAAGAAGCAAAGCAACTTAACCTACAAGAGTTCTTTCTCTCTAAACGGTTTGAAGATTTAAACCGGGCTGCTTCAGAACCAACGCAGCCATTTCCGTGGCCGGTCTATGCTACCGGACTCTTTTCTTGGAGTTACATTGATCCTATCCGCATTTGCTGCTGCCCATTTGCTAAAATCAGGCGACGAAACCAATTCTTTAACCGCCTTTGTTGTGCTATCCTTTGTGAGCTTTTTCCAATCTTCTTTTGAGAGTTTGCTTCGTTGAGGAGTTTTATGGAAAGAGGAAGGGAAACTATCTGATTCAGACGGTGGAGACTGTCGCATCCCATTGATTCCTGAAAATAACCATCAAACAAAAAGCTTATTATTGGTTTCATTTTACATCTTGAGATGTGATTTAAGAGAGCTGATCACAAATCAACCTCCTGATGGAGAAGCAAAAGTAACACGGTCGCGAAATTCAGAAGCATCAGGACTCTTTTGCATGAAGTCATGAAGAAATCCCGGGACAGTTGGTACTTCAGCATAACGAATTGCCTCCCAGATTCCTAGCAGTAAATTCATTGGAATCCTGTGCAAAAGAACAAAACTTGCATTCAATACTGTGAAAATTTCAGAGATATGGGTGTGTAATCAAGCGAACAAGAACAAAAAGAGTTCAGTCTGTTGAAGAAAATGGATAAAAGAGATTGGCCGCGACTCACTCATATAAGCGTAGTAGGAACTTCAACTTTATGATCTTCTTTAAACTCGATGACATTAGAATCAGAGATATCAGCGCTCCTCCAGCAAGCAAAGGATCTACGGAGCTCTGGAAAAAAAAACAGATTCTTGTCAAATGACGATTTTCAATTTGATTAAAGGGAAAACGTATAGTTTGAGGGAGACTGGAAAATAACCTGAAGAATTAAAACGGCAGCTATAATCCGGATGGACCAAGAAACAAATAGTGATGTGCCAGTGTCAATGGAGCCATCATCGGTCAGAACCAGTTTCCTCACGGTCCAAAATCCAAAAAATGCCCCAGCCAAAGATAGAAACACCCCGCCAAAAATCGCCACCTGCAAAACCAAAAATGCGAGGAAAAAATTATCATAACAAGTTTAGCATGGGCATTTCTTAGCCAGCAAATATTGACACTATCAAAACTTACATACAGGGGTGTACATTTCTTCGTCGATTCCCATCTCTGTTAGCAGACTTTGAAATAAACCAGGTATGTAGCGAAGAAGGAAACCACCTAAACCAAGCTGGCCAGAAGAAGAAGAAGGGAAAATAATATTTAGTTAGATAAATCAAGGAAGTTGGAGAAATATGGAAAGCACAAACAAAACAGATTAATTATTGAACAATCACCAGGGTTGAGTATATGAACAATGCAAACGAGCTCCGCCCAGTTGGTAGAAACTTCATTCCCTGTGTTACACATCACATAACAAAAGCGAAATCTGGAAGTGAATACCCTCTCTTTTAGAGGTTAAGAAAACAACAGACCACAACGAACAAGAAAAATTGGAGTTACCTGAAAGAGGACAAGCAGCACAACAAGGATAACTCCAACAGCCATGGCACTACTGTAGTAAAATGCTAATGATTTGCTCAGTACAGAAGCGGAAGCCAGCAAAACAGTACCAAGGATTAAGAATACCACGCGGTACATGAAAAATTCTGCAAAGCCGAATACAGAGTTGATAAATTAGAATGTAGAAACATACATAACCAGAAAGGAGAGAGAAAGTAAATCGTACATATAAGTAAATGCAATAAAAGGAAACAGAAAAGCCACCTTCTACAGCAGACATTTCCAGAGTGACCTTGGGTGAGCTAGCTATTCTTACATCAATGATTTTGTGGTCGAAGGGTGACATTGTCTGAACCCATGAACCCTTAGACACTTTCTCCCACCGACTATGAGGGCACATTCCAATTGCACGCGACAAATTCCTTCAAACATACAAATAGTGGAAACAGTTAGTGATATAGATCTATGATAAATGAATCATATCTTGTTGCTATTTTTTGTATATCAAAGAGCTTACAGAGACTGCAAGATTAAAATTATCAAAAATTAAGAGTAAACTGAAACGCAACAGCAAAAGATAAAGGAGTCACCTGTGGAAGCATATGTCCACGTTACTTGTTTTCCCGCCGGTTGAAGCGTTAACAATCAACTTCAGTGAATGTGCATACTTGTCTATATGTTTAAACCTTCGAAGTCCACGGATATGTATCCTCTCACATAGAGCTGTTCTATCTGGCTTCAATCCAGGAGAAGCCTTAACTTCTAAATTAGGAGTCACTTGAAGCGACCCAGTTTCTCCCACAACTGCCCATAAGGTTACAATAAATCATCCACACAAAAAGATTATAAAAAAAAATCAATTATATGTATAATCTATACCCAATTTGTCTAATTTGGTTGCAAGAATCAAAATTTTCGTAAACTCAACCTAAAGCGGAGGAATTATCCAAACAGGAACAAAGAACAAGCAAATTAACCTCAAAATTCGAGTACCCATTGTAATACTTAACTAAGAACGAGACAGAAACATCACAACATAAAGCCTAGATCTTCTCAAATTTCACCCTGCGTTAATTTAATTCCACAACCCAAACCGCACGAGAATGGAAAAAAAAAAAGTAAGAAACAAATTACCGAACATAAGTTCATCAGATGAAACAGGAGAGGAGAAAGCAAAGAGTTGTAGCAATATAATCCCGATAACGACGCCGGAGATTCGAAGAAGACGATAATCACCCATCGATTTCTAAGTTTCAAGAGGAACGAACGAGGATGAAAAAAAAAGGTTTAAGGGCGCGGATTTGAAACGAACGCAAATAACAACAAAGTCTGAGGGTATTTCTGGTAATTGAAAAGCAAAATCCTTCGATCCTCGGCATTGAAAAATGGGCCTTTGTAGCCCAACTATGGACCATTACTTTGCAGTTAAGGATCACACGATTCTTCTTATTCAACTCATTTGTTTTCTTTCATTTCATTTCCATATATGGAACACTACTAGTCGTAGTCAGTGTCACATATTTTCTTATTTTCAACCAAAGTCTGAGGTTTAACGGGAGTGTTGATATTTGTTTGTTTGTATTAATAGTTTTTACCCAAGTTCTAAAATTTTTTAAAAATAGATTGCTCAATGCAAGACGGGATTCGTTGGAAAAAAAAAACAATAAGTTGTGATAAAAATGTAAAGGCATAATGAAGTTCATGCTTTGGTTTAATTTTGTAGCGAAAATAATTAATCTGGTAATTGATGTCTGTGTGCGTATATTTAGCTACGAGTTACGTCCGAAGCGTGATGCTTAAAAAGAAGGTAGGTTCGTTACTAACCTAAGCCGTTAATTATTAATGAAACAGAAAATGATTGAGCCGTTAACTACGTTCGTCGAGTGAACTGAACCAAATGGAATTATGCATCAGTCATTGGCTTATTGACTTCATAACTATGATTGACCAAAGAGGCCGACCAAATGAGCTGCCAAACAGATTTTAAAACAACTACGTTTCACAAATTAATTCAAAAGAAAACATTTATACACTCGTACAAAGAAGGACCTCCTTGGCCAATGAGTCCGCTAAAGAATTTAACTTTGCGAGAAATGTAGTTGAACGCTCGTCTACGGCTAACATCCTAAAATGAAACGTTGTGATCGGAAGTATCGTAAAATTTATGGATATTGCGTAAAAATTCAATTAGATCGGAACACAACATCAAGGGTACAATTGTACAACAAACTGTCGGGTTACAAAAAAGGGAACTTATCTTGCAAGTCAGTGCGACTTTATAAACAGAGAAACAAAAATTAATAAATGATTTGTGCGAGCTTGAATTGCAATATAACTAAAGCTTTGTCGGAACTGAAGCTGTGTTCCTTATATAAAAGAACACAAGCACGGGAAAAAAAAAAAATCCCATGCAAGTCATTTAGAGTTGGAATGTTTGTTAATTAGAGGATAACCTATTTGCATTGGTATAGCTTAACATATGGAGTGTTGAATGCTAAAGAAGAAAAAAAAAAGAGCTTTAAAATCTCAAATGTTTAGAAGGTTTGAACAATTAAATTAAAGTTCATGAAACTATTCCAAGGGACTGAATCTTCATTAAAGCATATAATTAACATCGCTTTACATGAAACTTTCACTGTTGTCTGATGGTGCTTTAACGAATATATCTACTACACTTTTGAAGAGTTTTCTCACGAGGATCCAAATTCCGGGATGCTGTGTAAAGCTGGCCTCCATCCAACGCCACCTTTTCCTCCGCCGTGGTTCCGCCTCACAAACCCATCTCCACCGTCTTCTCCGGCGACCTATAAAACCGGTCGAATTAAATCAAGCATCCGTGTACGGACAAAGTATCTTGCCATGTGAGAGATTTGCATTTGCAATATGAAACCGTAAACGAATTACAAGATATTCGACATGACATTTATCTGTGTGTTTACAACAATTGCGCCGGTCATTAATATAAATATATAATGATCAAAAGTCAAGAGCAAGGACATGCACTTACCGTATCATTAGCCCCATCTTCTTTCGGTTCCGAATCCGAATTCGGGTTGACCCGACCCGTTTCCTGATCAGTCTTCTTTCTATGTTTCTTCTTCTTCTTCAACTCAAGCCCTCCTCCTTCTTTCAATAGCTTCCCAAGCTTCACACACTTCTTCGTCGCAAACTCGTTCAAAACCTCTGCATATATCATTATTTTTGTTATTAAATAACTTAATTTTTGTTATAAGAAAAACAGAGAATTGGAATGTATGTATTATGCCTTCGAAGCTGACGAGACGGTAAACATGTCCGATGAGTAAAGTATCGTCAGGACGAAGGAGCTTAAGCTGCTTCAGTGGCGATCCTTTATCGTTCTTCAGTGTCGGTGACGTCACAACCACCGCAACGTAATGACCGGGATTGGATCTCATGATGTCACTCGCTGTCACCGACCAGTAAATCCTCTCCACCTTGTTCTCCGCCGGATGATGAATCAAAACCGTCGCTGCCTCCGCCGCTTGACAATTCCCCATTTTTTATTTTAGTTTCACCGAAATTTGTTTTCCTTTTTCTAAAGTTTTGATTTTTTTTTTTTGGGTTCCTCTCTGAAACTGAAGTATATAAGAAGAGAAAGAAAGAAAAACAGCGTCGTGTGGTTTTAATAAATAGTGACGTCAGAAATTCTTCATCATTTGGAATTGTCAGGTTTGACAAAGAGGTCGCTGGAGATCGATAAAATCTTTAGAAGATTTTAAAAATAAGAAAACAAAACAGAACAAACGAGTAATATTTGGGGGAGAAGAAACAGAGAGAAGTTGTAACTTAAAGATGTCTATGGAGATTAAGCAATGAGATTGAACAAATAAAGAGGTTGGAGGGTGGTGGAACTATTTATTATATTTTGATCTCTAATGATAATGACAGAATTTTACGGGAAATTAATAAATGGTATTTGAGGATCTTGCACATCGCAACCAATGAGCTGATTAGCCATATGTTTAATTCTCTTGAATTATTAAGTTGACCAGAGTTTATGGTATCTAATTTAAATCGAAAAGTGATTGTAAATTAATGATGAACCATTTTGCCGATGCTAATTCAACATTTCAATTTTAGAAAGTATATATATATATATATTGATGATTTGATATTAGAAATATGTTAAATGCACATATCGATATTTTGAAAAGGTTTTGTTGTTCTGTTTTTTTTTTTAATTGTTTCGTATGGATTGATTGCTGTTTTATGGTTTTAATGTGCGATATGACGCTACGAGTGATACTGAGCAACACGCGAACCCAAGTCCATTTTACTTGTTTAAATGTAGCTAATATGAGCTAAAAAAATGTAGCTAAATATTTTACAGAATATTTATTGAATACTCATGTGAACACAGAAAAAAATACAAATTTCATCAAAATATTCACGTAATAATCATTCAAAACACTAGGTTTGATTGATAAATATTATACCATTTGTGATTTGTGGTACAGCAAGCGGTCTATGTAACCACCAAATAAAACGAATTGAAGCCGATTTTTGTAAGTATTATTTTTCTACCGACCCAAATTTTTGTAGTAGATAAAAAAATACATTATAATTGTTATTCTATAGATTTACAAGGGAAGCGTGTTGATTTGGAGTAACCGTAACAGTGAGAAAGAGATAGGAAGTAGTATGGGACCCACAACGAGTCGGAATCAGATGGTTTTACGACCGTTGGATTCTCGTAGTTCTCATTTAAGAGCGTCGGATTATGAAACGAGGTATCTGATACCCTATCATAATGGCAGTATCAAAAAAACATTTTCTGCAACTCTTCTATTTTCAATAGATCTGTTCCATTTTCTTTTTAAGATACTTTTGTTTTGTTTTTTTGTTCTTTCGAATAATATTCCCCCATCTACATTCCGAAGCGCTTAAATGAGTTCATTACCGTCTGAACTTGTAGCTCATTTGGTTTGAGAGTTCAGCTCCACCTCATGGGTTCAAGACGAGGCATAGAAGGCTAAGTTACTTCATTACCTTACACGCAAACAAAAAAAAAAAATTTGTAGAAATTATCGTAGGAATTGGATTGTGAGCCAAAATAAATTTCTTCCTTGAGTTTCTCCTTTTCAATAAACCCATCGGTTGAGTGTCATTCACCAACGTGCTATGTTTTCCTTTTCAACTTGCAATGAAATCGTTTAGTCAAAATAAAATTTAGTTAATGAAATCAATCTTTGAGTTTGGACTTTGGATCCATGTGTTTGGCGACTTATCTTTAACTCTATTTTTAAGCAAGAAAATAGAACACACGTATTTTCATAAATTTAGTTAATTTTCACTAAATAAGTTGAAATTGACCGAACAAGAAATTAAATTCGTTACACCGAAACACGCCACCAAAAGCCGATAAAGTCTGGTAAGAGAACACTCGTAATTAATTATTCTGAATGCGTGTCAAAGTTGTGTGTGTAAGTAAACACGCATAAACTACGGTCACGTTTACTGGGTTTTATAAAGCCCATAAAATATCTTAATGGGCCACACAAGAAGAAAATAGAAACAAAATTCTAATTAAACGGATCCACATTTAATCCCAACACTCTGCTACAACTTTTGACCAAAACATAACACAAAACATAATAGATAGGAAAACAAAGACCGGTCCTCAGATTTGCATAGTATCTTGTTCGTCTTCACCAGCAGCTTCATCGGTTTTAATTGGTTCACTGAACATATACTGACTCTGGTACTCAACAAGATACTGCATCGATCTCCTCACATCCAAGAACAATCGATAAACCCTCTGAATATCCTCAACCTCCACGACCTTCCCTTTTCGTTTCTGGCAAGACAACGCAGCCGCGGTTATAAGATGAATCGCATACCTTAAAGAAGTATCGCGTCCGATCAAAGTCAAAAGCTGTTTTGCGTCTTCGTTCATCTCAACATCTTCTTCTTGGCAACGGATCTCTAAGATCTTCCTTATGTCTTCGTCTGTGTATGGTTGGGTTGTGATGATGAGAAGACGGTCGAGGAGATCGATCGGGATCCCGTGCGGTGATTTCTGGTTCGTCCCACGGATTGTTGTGACTCCTCGGTTTGTTGCCACGACGAGAATTGGTGACATTTCGTTTTCGAGAGCTCGGTTAAGGAATGAGAAACATTCGATATCAAGCATGTGAACTTCATCGATGAAGAGGACACCAGGAACTATTTCGGCTTTTCCTTCTTCTCTCCATTCCGCTACTTTTGTATCGATTTGTTCCCGGACTTCTGATCGGATTTCCCCAGTGTCGCCTGTAAATAGGGCTAGAAACCCTTGCGTCCTGTACACGGACAAAGAAGAAATCAAACAAAATGACTTCTTTCTGTTCTACACCTCAATTGTGCAACACAAATTAACAGAATATCTTAGTTATAGTTACAGAGGTTGCTCTGACTAGAACACTGAGCTAAAGTGATGTCGAAATGAAAATGAAGGATGACAATTGCAAGTTTGACACACCTCATCTGAAATCATGTAATCAGTAAAAAGCCTCAATTTTTCAACCTACATTGGACCTGTGAATACCAAAAATCATGATTACTACTGGCACAATCACGTGTTAAATTACCTGCTGTTGATAACATCAATCTCGTGAAGCGTCACGCAATGAACAACCTCTTTCCTCTTCTGCAGCTCACCATCAGGGCACTGCACAAACTTAGTCTGTGCACCCATAGCATCGTAATCCCGAGACCTCGAAAACGATCTTCCTAGCTTAGTAATCTTCCCAGTAGCCTTATCAAGGGCAATGACATCTCCGCTCTGCACTTTCTCCTTGTTCAGAGATTCAATCAGCTTCGCTCCCATATCGTACACAGTTTCCATATCCGTCGTCTTCATCGTCATCTTCCCTGACTTGGAAGCAACTCCTGAAGAAGCAGGCCTATCAATCTGAATCTCCACCACTTCTCCTTCAATAACTTCCGTCTCCTCTTTGATCCTAACACCAATCGCTTTACGGAATGACTGAGTCAAGGCTTCCGTTTTCGACATCTCCAAGGAGAAAATCTCGCTTCCAGCAATCATCGCAAAAGGGGTTTCCAAGCCAAGCGATTTCGCCATACCCATAGCAATCGCGGTCTTACCAGTTCCTGGTTGGCCAGCGATTAAGATAGCTCGACCCGCGATTTTCCCTTCCCTAATCATCTCAAGGATTACGCCGGCGGCTTTTCGCGCCTTCACTTGGCCGACCATTCCTTCGGAGACGGCTCGTGGCTCGAGCGCTGAGTCGAGACCCAGTCCTCGGATGTGTGAGTGTGCGCCGATTCGCTCCACCCTGGTCAAGTCCCGACTCTCCGATAGCTTTAGTTCTGCCATTTTTCGCTTATCGTCTTCGGCGATTGAGGCGGAGGAAGAAGTGCTCTGAGGTTTTAGGGTTTATAGAGAAGTTGCTATTGCAATGGCGAATTCGATGTACATGTAATTTAACTACTCTTAGTAAGGGCACAAACAGAATTTCACAAAAACTTCGAAGCGAGAGATACTAATTTAGCAACGTACCCTTGTATTATTAATGAAAGTGTAATCAGCTCTTACATTAAGATCCGTTGCTTTTTGAACACTAGTTAAGAAATTTATGAGGTTGGATCATTGACATGAATCGGTTCAGAAGTCTCTTTAGCCAGTTTCTTTGCCTCTCTCCTCTTCTTGACTTTTCTCGTCTTATCGTTGCCAGCGAAACTCAGTTTCTCTAACCTCAAAAAAAAAGAGAGAGTCAGATACGTAATGTAATTCAAAGGAGACAGCTTTGAATAGTTGAATAATTGTACAAAACCATCAATGTCACAAATCAACTTGAGCTATTAGAATTTGATCAAAATCAAAACTTTCCAAACTCTTAATCTGAATTCCGTACAGATGCCTATGAGATATACAGTTAGATTATGTAGGAATATTCACAAAAGAATTTTATAGTTAGAAGCTAGAAAAACCGTACCTTCTTGTTCTTGGGCATTTAGTCGAGCAGGTTGTAAGCAACTCTCCTCTTCTTGGGCACGGTTGCTCCGACCAGCATCACGGGTCTGAGTTATATCTGTCGGAAGTAGGGGACCAATAACTTTCCTCCGTCGACCTGCTTCCTCTTTGAGCATCTTCTTCCTTATCCTCTTCCTCTGCGCTCGACTCGGTTTCTCTGCTGTCTCTGATTCGCCTTCGTTTTCGTTTTCGTCGCCGTGATTTGATGAGTCGATTTTAACGTAATCCTCTGAATTAATCGATTTGAAATATCATTTCCATCCAACTCTAATAATTGTCAACACGAAATCAAGTTAAAATCAAAACAATCGTACCTGGGTTTATGAGTGTCACATCGAACGGTTCGTCATCAAACTCAGTCTGGAACCAATTATCGATTCAAAAACCGCGATGCAGTTGAAAACATTCAGAGAACAGACGGATGGACGCAGATATGGAATGAGATATTACCGGAGACGGAGAAGATGAAAGAGACGAAGGCGATGAAGGAGGATATAGTGTTTGAAGAAGAGCTTCGTGTAACTTTCGTCGCTTTTCTTCTCGCCGTCGCATCTTCGAAGATCGCTCAGCACTCGGCGGCGAAATCTCCGTCCCGATCCATAAGACACACGCAAGACTGAGTTATTTATTACGTTGACGTTCGTGTCGTGTAAAGGGAGAGAACGTACTAATTAAGGTATACTTGGACTTCTTTAACGCATAGGAAAAAAAAGCCTAAATAAATAAACCTTTTTTATTTTGTTTGACCTTCTTTTGGATAACCATATTTCGTTTCATGATCTCTCATACGTCTCGCATATAGTAAGAGTTACTAATAAACTAGTGTTAGTTAAAACGTAACTAAGACTAGTTATGTAAACGTTAAGTAAAATAATATCGAAATCCACACAACGTTATGTTATGTTTAAGTGAAAAAATATGAAATTAAACATACTACACGAAAACATCCCGACTAGATATTGAATTTATATACAAACATGAAAATCTAGCACAACTGAACAAAGCACACCAAATCAAACCCCTGCTTTCAAATTTAATACTAACAATATATAAGGGAGACAAAAAACGAAAGTTTAAAAGGGTCTTAATTTTGTTTTATTGCTGACGAATCTTCAAAACTCCACCGAATTTTCTTTTTTTAAATTGATCAAATAACAAATCTTGTTCTTCAAATTTTTCACAAGCCTTTTCTTCATCGATCCGTCCCATCACCACACAACTATAGTTTCTCCGGAGATCCAACGGTTGCCCCATCGCCGTGATCTCGCCGATGCCGCCGTCACGTGAGTATGAGACAAACCGGCAGCGTTCACGTGTCACCGTCGTCTTCGTGGACGAATTTAGGGTGAAGCTACGAGGGAGAGTGGTGCTTGCTGCTTCGCAGATTTGGTAATTACCGGCCGGTAAACCGAAACCGCCGGAGCCACCACCACCGTGGATAAAACCGACGGAGCATGACGACATGCTACGTATGTAAGCGTCACGTGCCATGATCAAGAAACGAACCGGAGATTTAACAAACCTTGCTAAGTTGCTCTCTTTCTTCATCTTTTTAGCTTTCATGATTTTAAGTGCAATAAAAAACCGAGGATTGAAACGAGAAGAGAAAACTTTATATAAGAGAGAAGATGCCGTCCATGGCCTTTTTTCTAAATGTACTTTTCATTACGGAAATAAAATAATAAAGGGTATACATAAATGTATCTAGTTGGATGTTTACAGGTTGGTGATACTTATCTTTAAAAGAAACAATATAATATGAATCTAATCTACTCATAGTTAGTAGTGTCAATTGGGCTGTCCATGTCCAAATGGGATGGTGAAAACTATGATGAGGAGTGAAAAACTCAGTTGAAGAGAGAAAAAAATAATTAATTGTAAATATAAGACTCGCTAGACACTTACAGTCGACTTGATTTTAACATAGCGAAACATATTTCATTATCAAACCAATTGGTCAAGTAGGTGTTGCTTCAACTCAAAGTTTATTTTCTAAACAACTTACACGAATTCATTATGTACGCAGTTTGAAATGTCAGCAATAAATGTTATGCTGGCAGTGTTTTATATTTGCCTGATTATATATATAACTGCCCCACCTATAATAAATTTTGCGGAAGTCAATTTAAAACTTGTACGTATAATATTTGGAAACGATATATTTTGAAAAATTTTCATCTTCGACAAACAACAAGTAAGTCCCAAATTTTGCATCTTTTATATTTTTGTATAACTTGGCCTTAAAAATCCTATAGGTACGTACGAAAGTCCCGTGCAAATATTTGATGTACCTTGCAACCCAATAGAAACCTATTAAAGGTTTTTTTATATAAAATCCATATGTATCGTGTTTTAAAACGACAGCGTATTAAGCTGGTTTAACAATAATATGATTACGATTGATTAAGACGGAGGTACCATAGTCTGTCAAGGTTGCTTGGCTTCGAGCTGTAAAAGATCACGATAGCAACTTGTGTGACAGAGATCCAGATATGGCTTGGTTAGCTAGATCCATTGCGAACTCACTCAATTTCGATGAGGACGATGAAGATGATGAAAAGCGACGATCTCTTGATGAGTCCGTTCCGAATCAATCGCCTTCGCTATCGGTGTCGGAGTCACAGTCTCCTCGAGGCGTTAAGGAAGACATCTCCGAACTTACCAAGAGCTTGAGAAGCCAATTCTGGGGCGTAGCTTCGTTCCTATCGCAACCTTCTTCATCTCCGGATGTTCAGGAGAGAAATCAGAGTCCCGATCATGCGAAGGAAGGTGACGACGAGGATCTGATTGCTGGGATTAGGAACGATTTCGCGGAGATTGGCGGGAGGTTCAGGACGGGGATTTCGAAGCTCTCTGAGAACTTACCGGTGTCTGATTTCACAAAGATCGCTTCGAATTTCTTACAACTAGGTTCAGATGGAGTGGATCCCAAGGATTACGATGTTGGAAACGTAATCGGAGTGACCGAGGAATTAGTTGCGTTTGTGAGGGATCTTTCGATGCATCCTGAGACTTGGTTGGAGTTTCCTTTACCTGATGACGATGATACATTCGATGGTATTTTTCGTTCGGATATGCGATTTGGTTTCTGGTTTTCATAGTCTACACACTTTTGCATCGTAATCTGAAACTTATTTCCGTCTCAGATATTCCCTTGTTGTGCTTTATAACCTTGCTCTATCATCACTCCTAGGGTAGTTCTCTGTGAAAATCAGATTGGTTTTTTATATATATCTGTCTTATTCTGAGCAACAATACTGATTTTCGAGCTTTACCTTTTGATCTCTTGTTTAAATTTGTTTCTGTTTCGAATGAATTTGATGCCTTAATTTTCAGACCTTGAAATGACCGATGATCAACACGAGCACGCTCTGGCGGTGGAAAGGCTTGCACCGAGCCTGGCTTCTTTGAGGATTGAGCTTTGCCCAGAATATATGAGTGAGAATTGCTTCTGGAGGATTTACTTTGTACTTGTGCATCCTAAACTCAGTAAACACGATGCCTTGCTTCTGTCCACTCCTCAGGTAACTTGGATTCTCAATTCCATTGCTTACCAATATTTGTGTGTTTCGTCTATCTCAAGTTTATGGCTTTGTTTTTGACCTAATCCTTAGGTTGATGCAAAAAGTATAACGGTAATCGATTTTTCGTGTCAAACCTCTTTTAGTAAGGAGTAGCACTAGCATGCCAGGCTTCCTGGAATGTAAAGTTACCTGATCTATTTACTAACTTTTTTGCGTTTGCATAAAGGTACTCGAAGCAAGAGCAATGATATCACATGAGTTGCAGAAAAGAAACAAAGCACCGGTGGAAGCAGAGAGTTCTGAAGCTAACACTGCGATGCTTGAACCTCTCGCTGTGCCTTATAACCCTTCACCGGAATCATTAACTGTCAAAACCGTAATTCCAAATGAAACACCCGACTCTGAAACAGACAAGCACTCAATTGAGAGCAAGGAGATACAAGTCGTTGACAAATCTGTCGTTGAAGAAAGAAACAAATCAGCTGTTTCTTCATCTAGAATCATCAATTTGCAAGTCGAGGAAGGAGAAGAAGACGACGCGGATGATTGGTTGAACGACGAAGAGACTTCACAATCTGTTAGCGCCTTGGAAGGAGGAGTAACTACCAAACATCCTCTTGGTGAAGATGAAGAAGATGTATCATTCAGTGATCTAGAAGAAGAAGACGAGGAAGGAGATGTGCCAGTGAGTTACAAGAAAGTTACTAACACTGGTTCACCAGAATGGATTCGGCTAAAAAATTCCAGAAACGGCCAGGTAAAAGAGAACAAAGAATCAAACGACTGGCTTGATGTTGATGAAATGTGACCTAAGTGACCTCTAATATTCTTTTTGGTTATATAAATTTAGATCTCTACGTCTTCCAAAAATCTGATCCTTTAAAACTTGCTGTGAATAGCTTTTTTATTTACGGTTTTATAATCTTTTTTTTTCAATCATGTATTAGTATTAATGTATCTAGATTAATTATTTCTATTGCAAAACCAGTTTTTTTTTGTTCTAATAATCTACTAGATATCTTTATTGTGTAACCGAATTTGATAAAAAAAAAAAAAAAAAAAAAACTAGAAATTTTGATTTAATTCGGTAGCATTTTAAAAACCCGAACTATCCGATAATCGAAGCGAACGAAATTTAATTCGGTAGAATTCTCCCCGAACCGAAAAAAACGGAACTATCCGAATTCGCAGCCATCTTAGAACCGCTCGAACTTACTTTTACCGCCGGCTCTACCGCCCCGAGCTCTGTTAAACTTATTAACCGGTTCTCTCTTGCTTCTGTAGCCGCCTCCTTCTCCTCTCTGATCTATCTTCAGAGCTACTTTGGGTGGTGATGAGAAACCGAATGAAGCCGCAATCTCCTGCAGGAAAACAAAAGATTTCCGGTTTACACAAAACTGCAACGTCTAAATCATAATGCAGAAATCAGTAAAAAGCTGGTTGTGTTTGCGATTTTACGACATTTGGTAATTGTTTACATATCACTGCAGATTTGGTTACCTTGAGATCTAGTCTGTGAACATTAAAGACATCTTTCATAGAGTGAGAATCATATCCTGAAATGTAAGTCTTGTATGCTTCTTTTGCTGACAGGTTCAATGCATAGTTTTCAGATATTATCTTCTCCTGCAATTTTTTGTTTATATAAACAACAAACAATATATAAATAAGTCTCCATGCTTTTTAGCTCTTTAACGTGTAAAAGAGTGAATAAAGTTTCAGAGAGAAGAGCAACATGTGTTTTACCAGAAAAGACTGCACATTGAGCAACTTCCCTTCCTCGAATTCGTGTTGCTGAACAGGTATTTTCGCCGCCTGCAATAACTCAATCAGAAACACATTCTTTCATTCACAATAATACTCCGCGCGACAATGTGATGAAACCACAATTACCTTGAGATACTGAATAAACTGCAACTCCTCTGGAGTTAAGACAAGCAGAGCCTTCCCTTTTGCTCCTTCTCCACGAGCTGTTCTACCAACTCTATGTATATATTCCTAAATAAATAGGTAAAAGCAAGATATTTGACTGATTTCTTAGAAGGAAGTAGAGAAATTCTTTTTTTTAGAAATTATACCGTAGGATCATCTGGGGGATCATACTGCACAATCCAATCCTAAACAAGCAGACAATAATCAAACAGATGAGATTCAATCAAAGACCAAGCAAAGAAGATTGTATCAACAATTAAAATGGTTAAGGAAGCATACATACCACATGAGGAATATCAAGACCACGGGCAGCGACATTAGTACACAACAAGACACCAGTTTCCGCCTTTATGAACTGGAAAAATGTTGAAGTCCTTTTGCTCTGATCTATCCCTCTTCGAATTTCAAGGCAATCTATTTTGATGTATCGGAAGAGTTCGGCGTGAAACTTGGTCGATTTGCACGTGGAGAAAAACACCATGATTTTCTTTTTCCCGTGAAATCTCTTCAAGAAGGTGAGTAAGAAAATTAAACGCTTCGCACTTGGCACAACGCAGTAACCTTGCTCCAAGCCTTCATTTGTAACCTACAGTTTCCAATTTCCACAAACATGAAAAAGACCTGTCTAGAGGAATGAAGTAAAATGTAAGTAGAGAATTGTAATAATCGCTACCTCTTTTCTTCCTTCATCGACATCAATATAAACAGGTGACGAAAGTGACACCCGAGCAAGATCCTCAACCTGTTGATTTAACCAATCTTAATAAACCGATACTGTACTAAAGATATAAGTGAGGGAACTATACTGATTGGGAAACAAACCTTGGAGGTCTGTGTGGCGGAAAACAACGACGTCTGCCTTGTCTGCAGCAAATAATAATAAAAAACGATTTACCATTATCAACAACATGGTGAGACATGAAAAGAATACTTAATCCTCTATGATTCAGGTTAAACTTAAGACAATGTCTCCGTATTAAAATTATTGGTAAATCCCCTATGCAAGCAGCGAGAATACCTTTGGTAGGAGCTTAATGATCTTCTTCATGTCTTCTTCGAAGTTCTGTTCCAGTATCCTATCAGCCTCATCCATTACAAGAAACTGCAATTTTTAACACAGAATAAGAATGTGCATTAACTCAAAACCATGACAATAAGAATAGTAGTCAAAAATTGAAATCAGACTTTGTTGTACCTTCAAGTTCTTGAACACAAATCCATTTGTATTTTCAAGGTGGTCGAGAAGTCTTCCAGGGGTTGCTACTAACAAATTAACACCTTTCACAAGAATTTCAGCTTCTTTCTTTCTGTTCTCGCCGCCAATAACCTTTCCCACAGTCTGCGAATGATACTTAAGAAGTTCTTTTGCCACTCCATATGACTGAAATATTAAAGACGTACTTGATAAGAAAGCACAAAGCATGATGCTATGCTAGATCGATAAAAAGCTGAGGAAATGTTACGGACCTGGATGGCTAGCTCTCTTGTTGGGCAAATAACGATAACACCTGTTCCGTTGCGAGGAGTAAACCGGACATGGTAGAGAAGCTCTGCAGCCGGTATAAGAAAAGCTAAGGTTTTTCCAGAACCGGTCCTGGCTGCTCCAAGTACATCTTTTCCCATCATCAATGGGGGAATTGCTTTAGCTTGTATCTGCCAAAAAGATACGGAATTTACAAGTGGGTACAATAAATGGTTTGAGTGTATTTGCTCTACAAAAGACATAATATTCAATTACCTGAGTCATGCGTGAAAAACCAATCTCCTTGATAGATTTATAAGTGTTATCAGACAATCCCAATGACTCAAACGTTTCGTTAGTCATTATACCACTCCCACCACTTTCCTCCACTTTGTCTCCTTCCTTTACTTCTTCTTCTCCATTGTCTTGTTCTTCGAACTTCACTTTCTCATTCTTCTTCTTCTTTTTCTTCTTCTTCTTCGGTTCTTCATCACTTATCGCTGTCATTTCTTCCCTCTCTTCATCTTCCATCGCTCGGTGCTTTAGTTTCTTCGATTCGTCTCGGGCTCTTTTCTTACTCTTCTTCTTCTCATTCTTCATCTCTTCCTTTTCGGATGAATGCTGCTCCAAATCCAAATTCGCCATGGTCGCCGCTCAATTCAATACTCTTCTCTGATTTAGAAATCCAAATTCGTGTAAGCTAATTACACAAACCAGGGCTTCTCTCTCAGTCTCACTCCTGCCCAGAAAGCCAAATTACATCAGCACCCAGAAGCAAAATTCGTAAACAATTGGGGGAGAGAGCGGCACAGTAAAATCACATCAACACAATAAATATAACCTGCAAAACTAGAGATGAATGGGCTTGGAGAGAGTCAATACTACTAGGCTTTTCTTCTTCGAGTTAAGAAGAGAAGGAGAATGATTTTTTTTTTATGCTCTTCGAGTGGGACGAATAGAAGATTATTAGGGTTTATAAAGGTCTCTATTTTTTTCAAAATGGAAGTTTCCCGTTATACCCTCGCCATGTAAAGCAATTGTCCATGTCAGCTGGTCTTTTTTTTTTGTCGGCCAGGTGGTCTAATTCAGTAATTAAACCAAACCGAATCGGAAATATTTATCTGAAAACACATACGGTTCTATTCGAGATACTGGAGTGGAATTAACATGTTAAAATACCTAATCCTTACTCCTTAGTATTGATGAACACAAATTTGAAGAAAATGATATATCTTAAAAAAAATGAGGACAACTTTGATTTTCGTTTCCCTTAACATGCTAAATATAGGAAACTGTTATACAGTTTTGATTAAATAAATCCCATTTCATTATGTCATTTCATAAGATCCTACTAATAGTTAAAGCAAGTGTTACAGTTTTGGTTGAGTTAATTCCGTTTGATTATATCACCTCTAAATCCAATCATTCCCATTTAATATTCCTAGTTCAGCTTATATTTACAAAGTCAATCACGAGAAAAGACCACCAAGGAATAAAGAGAAAGACATCTCCTCTAAAATCAATCAACTATAGACAGTACTTCACAACGATCTTATCGACGTCGATAATCTCTCCAACTTCGACCAAAACAATCTCCCAATAGACAACTTAGCTTTGTCTTGCTCCACAGTATCACTCGACGAACTCAACCTACTAGACACCATCCCAACCGCCTTAACCGCTGACACATCCAGATCTCGTACAACCGCTTCAACCGCTTTCGACTCCGTCTCACCACCATTCACATCCGTAACATAAAACGAACCAACCGCAATATCACCTTGCGTGCTCATCTCAGCTCTCGTTATCGACAAACCGTTTTCTCTCACAACTCTCGTCACATCCGACAACAAACCCATCTTGTTATTTGTCCGAACCTCAAACTTCGAACCGCGTGAAGTGCGTCTCGAAATCGCAGCTACCAAACAATGCCTTAATCTCTCTCTTTGCCCTTCCGTCTCTAACGTGCACCCGTTCTTCTTCCTTATGAAATATTCTTGCTCCGCCGTCGAGCCTCTAGCTCCGGCAACGGCGTGAAACACCACAAACTGTAACTCTTTTAATGCACATACCGTGTCAAACAATAGTTTGGGTCTGTCTCTACACTTAACGGTCACCATTGAATAACCATTACAAGCTTCGATCGCCACGTGTATCCTCTCGCATCTTCCCCTCCACAGCGCATCACACCTGTTACATGTAATGTGGCATGTAAACTGAACAACCGGAACCGAAATTTTCCAAACTCATCACAAATATGATTGGTAACAAAAAAATTTACCCAATATCTATACCAAACTGATCTAGAACCAAACTTAGTAGAACCGAATCCGTTCTCACAAACCAAAATTCTTTTTAAAATGCATTTATATGCAAGATCAAATTAAAAATATAGAACTTCTTATCATAGAAAACGAAAACGCAAAATAAACGACAAAGAAAACGCAAACGCACCTGTCTCCACTGAAGCAGTCGCAGCCGAAGCAATTCTCGTAGTCTCCTTCAGCGTACATTAGCTCGTGAAGCCGCCGCTCTGTGTGGGCCCAACCGACCGGAGCTCCTTTAGCCTCTACCACACTAACGACGACCCGAGACTCGTCGCCGACTCTGTGATGAGCCTCCACGACAGTAAGTAGATGATCCTTCACTTGGGCCTTTCTTACTGGGCCTATAATGGGCCCACCGTTAAACCCGTCTTCTAGATAAATCACCATCGCCGCTCGCTCGTGGTGGGTCCACGCAACAGCGGCAGTCACGTGACATCCAATGTCGGAGAGTACGGCGGAGATCTCGGACAGTAGACCCGGTCTGTCAATTCCGGTTATCTCATAAGCCGTGTGCTCTGTTGACACGTGGCGCTGTTGCACTTCACGTTTTAGATTACTCTGCATCTCTTTTGTTATACCTCCCGTTCTGCTAGAACATATCGCCTGTAGTAAAAAAAAACAACAAACAAACAATTAAACAATATTTTATTAATTGTTTAAAACTTTAAATTAATTTAACCTGTTTTTATTATATTTCACCTGTTGAATGTAGAGAATAAGGCTTCGGTCGGTGAGCTTATTCCCGAGTTGGTCCGTCACGTGAAACACTAACAAAGAGAAATATATCAGATGTGATGTCATATATATGGCCCACCATAATAACATGATGATGATGATGATGACTTACCATCCATGAACCATTCACCATCGGATGAGATGTAAGATTTTGAGATTACAAGATCGAGATCAGCCAAAACTTGAACCATGTCCAGTAATATCCCATACTTATTCGCGCTATCTACCTATTTATATTTTATATATACCAAACACAGAGCAAATTATCAAGAGTTTTCTTTTTCACCGGTAATTATAAAGAGCTTTTAAATACCTTAACAAGTGTACACTGTGGGTCTGAGTCGTTGTCTACACAAACCCTGATTAGAGCACAAAACCAGCAACAACTTAAGATTATCGATGATAATAATAATAATTGGTTAAAATCGATGAGAATTTTGTATGTTAACAAAGTACCAACCTGGGAGGATTGATTCTCTCGACGAGTGATTCTATTTCGGAATCAATACGAGGCTGATAAGCTATTTCCATCATCTTGTTATCCACTGCGAATATTGGCTAACCAGCTCTCAATATTCAAACCTAAATATAAACAAATAGATAAATATGTTTTTTGTTTTAAGTTGAGGAAGACGAGGAGGAGCAATATATTTATATATGTATATATAATATTTATATGTGGTAGCAAACTAGCAATTGTATAATTCCACAAAGTAAGCGATGTTTAGGATATAATTAAAGCAATGACAGGTCTAATGTATTAAAGTTCAGATAATAAGAAGCAGCCGATATCTTCGGTTCAGATTTCAGAAGCAAATCTAAATCCTTTCTTTTACTTTAAAATTAAAAAATAGAAAAAAAGTGTATACGGCTAAAAAATCAGATAAGAGAAGCTTAAGATATTTAACATTATAAGCTTATGCTCTGTTTAATCCAATTCTGGATCAAAATTCCTCCTTGAAATTTCTCGCGAAATCTGGATTTTTGCTAGATTACGATAAATCAGCACTTGAAGAAAATATTGTTCGTATAACTTATAGAGATACAGACAAAAATTAACTCGCATTGGAAACAATACTTCGATTACGAGCAGAGCAATAGAAAAGCAGAAGACGAACCCAAAATTGTCTTGAGGAGAGAAAAATAAAGATTCGATCTTTGCGCAAGAAGCCCATATATGAGAAACCGAATCCGAATCTGAATCCGAATCGCCTTGAAAATGCAGAGAGAGTTTGATTTTTCCTCAAGAATTTCAAGATGAAAACGAAAAGAAAATGAAGGGAGAAAGATAGCCCTGGGGTGAGATTCTGATTCAATTGAGACTAATTGAAGAAGAAGAAGAAAAAAAGAATCCAAAAATTGGAGAGATTCTATGGAAGAAAATATTGAAATTGTCTTTTTGGCTATAAAAGAGGAGAAATACACTTACGTTGGTGGACGAGAAAGAGAGAGGCGGAAAGAAACACAAGTGAAATCGTATCTATCTATCAAACTTGTATGTATCGTCGTATCGACGGAGAAAAATAAAAATGTACATCATAAATATTTTGTTTGACGTCAAATGCATTCCATCTATTTTTATACATTCTTTGCTATTTTAGAAAAAAATTATTAATTTCTGAGATTATGATGACCTTATAAAGCTGAAGCCTAAAAGTGTTAAATGTTATTGAGATTTTAATAGGATTGAGGAAAAATTAAGAACAAATTCATTGAAAAAAATATATATATATTTCCTATATTTGATTTCCCTTCAGTTGTTTCCCAGAAATTATATATACTCCAGAAGGCGGCCTTCGATTCTCCGAACCCTTAGAATCTGTAATTCTATCTAGGATTTGCTCGAAGCGAAATACGGATTACGGAATACCACATTTGCCTAGAAATCAATTAAAAAAAATGAAAATAAAGATAAGAGTAGAGAAAATCAAACGTGTAATTTCGTGAGATGACGTGTTCTAGGCGGCTAACATAAAGATATGCCACGTATGACGTATTATAACCACGTGGCAATATGGGTGGACTATAGTCGCGACGGCTCGCCTCTTCCCAATCGCAAGAAACAACGTTGCTGTCTTCCGTTTCAGGTGATTTTCTTAAATTTCGTACATAACCAAAACTCAAAAAAAAAAATAATAATAATAGTAGTACTTCTTCTACAGTCATTTTATCGACGAAATTATGTTTTCATGAGGTTTATTATATACAGGACGTCGTCCGTCTGTGAACTGTTAAAAGCTTTTCTTTTTTTTTTTTTTTTTTTTTTTTTGGTCAATGTTAAAAGCTTTTCTTTGGTTCGTTTTCTCGTCTGTAATAATTTAATTGATATGTCAATCGGGGTTACGACTTTGCTCAGAGGAAGAAGAAGTGAAACAAGAATGGTGCTTTTAGTGTTTATCATTCTTCTTCGAATTGCAAAAAAAAAAAAGACGTGACATACAAGGCACTTACATTATTATTACACTTTCTGGCTTTTGTATCGCCTCCTACAATAAAACAACGATTCCTTCCTCTTTATCGATTTGCAAACATTTATCGAAGCTCTTTAGTTATGGTCTGTGATTTACATAATTAAGGCTTAATCTGAGCTCTTTTCAACGGCTTCCTTTGCAGCAGCTTCTCCTTCGAGCTTCTTCTTCCAGTAGTCATCAAGGGGAGGTCCGAATATCGCTTTTCCTGATACCACACCAATCCTGCACAACATAACCTACTCAGCTTGCTACAGAATAATATTCCAGAATCAGTCATTTGTTCAAAATTAACAAACCCCAGGAGATTTTAACATTTTGGTCTTTATCTCACATTTACACGAATCCTGATCTGAGATGCTATAATGATGATTGTTTTGTATCAACTTTCGAAAATTGAAGTCCAAAATCATCTCGGAATCTTACAAAACCTAAGGATTTCAACGAAACCTTCGACGAATCTAGCTAAAATAGAAGAAAAAAAACGAAATTATCAATCAAGTTGAAATTTTTGGTACGATTTTCTATTCCCGCAATATCTGCAGAGCCGATAAGCAAAAATATGCCAGATCTTCCAGAATAACTGTAGTCTAAAGGAAGAATGCGAAGAATCATTATCAATCAAAAGTTAGATTTCGGGATTGAGGATAAAACGAGCACTTACACAGCAGCTCCAATCACCAATGGGAAAGACAAAAACCTGTTCCTCCGAAACATTGATTCAGATCGAAATCGGTCGCCGCCGCTCGAGCAAATATCCGGTCGCCGTCGTTCGAGCTGCTCTTCCGCCTTAAAAGCCTTAGGGTTTCAGATTACAGTTTATCACGTGCTAACTTTGACTGGGCTTAACTCAAGCTCTATTAAAATCTAATAATAAATCGGCCCATTAAGAAATCCTTTTATTTGATATTTCTTTCGTCAACGCTTTACACAAGGAAAAGAAACGATAAGACAGACAAGGGACCAAAAATAAATGTCACCGACTCTTTTTTCTCCTCCATGTCTTTTTTTCCTTTTCAATTTTAAAACTCGTGGTCTGATTTTGACGCTTTCCAAAACTCTATGGCATTATTTTCCTAATTTCTTCTCTTAACTCTCTCTTTTTTATTTTTGGTAGTAAAAACTCTATATTTCAAATGTATTAAGCATTTTATATCACTTAATAAATCTTATCTTCATTCTTCGATTTCTGAAGCTTTTGTTAGCAAAACTGATAACCAAAAAAAAAGAATTTATTAAATCATGTGTGTGTGTGTGTCATTGAGCTAGCTAGTTATTGATAAGTTTGTGGTTATATTTTTAACATCCACACAATAATCTCAAAGTATGTATGTCTACGTATATGTAGATGGAGGTGTGTCATTATTTGATAGCTGTGTGCTTTTAATATCTTCAATGCGCGTGTGAGGTATGAAAACCTGGTGCTATATCAGAAGTAGGGATTTAATCTTCACAATTAAGTCAGCTACTTACTTCCATTTAAGACAACAACAAAAAAAAGTAGTGAAGATGAGATTAATTAACTTGTGTGGTTGCATGCCGTACGGCTCTTACCAAGTATCAAATCTTATTATGACTGAAGAAGAAAACATACTACTAGCAATTAGCTTTCACTAATAATCAAATATTTTCCAGATACATTCGAACTAAGTGACAACGATAAGTTGAAATGTGAAGTAGTTTGCTTAATAATATAAGAAATTACAAACGAGACAACATATTAGAAGCTAAATTAATCATTATGGATTGTGGTTTTGGGTGTAGATGTAATCAGTGTGAGCGACTAAAGTTCTTCGTATCAAGATGCATTCTTCTTCTCCAACACCGTCGCAGGTTTCCTCTCCTTGGTCTACTTTCTACGCATAACAAAAAAAAAATCACGCACGTGAGTAAATTTTTCTTCTCGATCATAATCATATATTTCACTAAGTGTACATATATGATATGTGCACAACAAGAATAGTGAGCTAGGTTACTACTTGATAGACTTCGGCGGAGATTTCTCCCGGATTAACGGAGGTTGGAATGGACCGGGCTGATGCGTATGTTAGCGTGGAGCAGAGGAGGAGAGCAGTGATGAAGATGAAAGTTCTAAACTTAGTCATTCTATGATATGACTAAGTACTATACAGATCTTGTTAATTATATGGAAAGAATATATGTGAGTTGTTAGATGAGGAGGAGGAAGATATATGAGATTAAGCTATATATTTGAGGCGTATTTATAGAGAACTTGAGATGAGGTAAAATGTTCAGCAGAAACGAGAGCCATATATAATCTTGAGTAAGTGTACGTCATGAAACCATTACCATACCAAACACGCACATGTATATATATTTATAATCTTATATGTTTTACATAAGCATACATATTGACGAAAGTTTCGACAAAAAAAAAATACATATTGAAAGAAAGTTAATATGCTTATGTGAAGCTAATTTGCAGTATACACTATGGAAAGAGTTTATTTTTTTAACCATTTTTCAATATGTCAAAAGTTAATATGCTTAGATTGAGTTTTATGAGTTAGATACTTAATTTACGCCTTCCAACTATAATCTAATTGACTTATATGTTCTATATATTAATTCTGAACAAAATAGTATACTGCAAGCATAAAAAATGCAAAAATAGTAGACTTTATTTCTTATATGCTTCAGTACAACAGTTGAATTCAACGAATGCAAACAAAATGAAAGGAGATAATAGTACCGTTTGTCTTCCCTTTTTTTTTTACGTTACTGTTTGTCATTTTGACTTTTTCATCAATGTCTATATATAGTTTATTTACATTTTCTTATAGGTATATTTGAGGTAGTGTTTTTCCTTTTTCTTGATTGTCAAAATTTGATGAATGTAGTGTTTCATTATTTATCATATACAGTTACCGCTTACAGTGTATTAAACCCATGTTCACTTTTTGTTAAAATTAAAATGGCTGATATAATAATTAAGAAGGGTCCATTGTAAAGAAAATAACATTTGGCTGGCGCATGACATATTCTGCCAAAACAAAAGGTCGGGTCAATAATAGAGTGAAAAAGGGCTTCGCATTATTCGTTTCAAACATGGAAATAATTTAGCTCTATCCACACACATACGGCATTTCATATGTCTGTTAGTTATTAGCATTATTTTAAACTATTTTTTATTTTATTCTCTTAAATTTGTAATGGATCTTGTAAATCAAAATCAATATCAATCCTCCGTGGACCGTAGGCCTTCATTTCAGTTGTGCCTTTTTCTTACTTTAAATAATTTATGAGTTGGATTTTTGGACCACTTGCATATTTCCTTGAATTATTTTTCAGTTTCTTGTTTTTCTTTCCTTATAGTTGGGAACGGCGTGGACTGTTTTCAAAATCACACAAACTCCAGTTAACCCCAAGAGTACAATAAAAAGCCATCATCACTGGATAAAACCACAATCAAAACGGCAGTAAAGGAAAACAAAAAAAAGGATCGGGAAAAAGAGTTCTAAGTAGGAGGAAGCTTTTTCTCTAATGCATGTTGTGTTGTTTGTACACCAGTCTCATTGCATTGGCACAGAAGCAATGAACAGACATTATATTAGGTTTCTTTTTTGTTCTTTTAATGATGAAATGTTGTCGGTGCAAGTGTTTCGATTCTTCGAAAATTGTAAGATTTAGATTGTTAACCTTAAAATATCATATCGTCAGAATTATGATGTTCTTTTATAGCTTGATTTTCTCTGCTGTCTGAGTAGTGAAAAAAGGAACAACAAATTAATCCATATGCTTTTCAATTTAAACTTCAGAGACCAATCACTCTTCATTACTGAGTGAATAATGTGTTCGCTTTGTCACATGCTCTGCCGTTTTAGCACACGTTGTTTCAGGGTAAGCAAAACTGTATTGGTGTTTCTCTTTTCGTTTTCTTTTATTTTAATTTCAGCCTCGCAAGTAGAGAGAAACAAATATCTGAGTTGTCCTATATAACAGACTTCGAACCTGCGACCTCGTGTTATATAAATTTACAGAACTGTAGCTAAGTATAGGTCACATGTTGTCGCTGCCTTCAACATAAGACCAGAGAGCAGGAACGCAAAACAGAGGAACCCGCTTATCAACCGTGAAAGAGGATCACAACTCACAAGGTGCGGCTTCTGATGATCTCATTAATCGGCTACGATCGGGTTTTTTATTAGGTTAATCACATTCTTGCTACGATTATTAACTTCTACGAGATTATGTATCCACTATTCCTGAAAATTCATATTATCAGGGATTCTCATTTCCTGAAATTTCGAGATTAGTCACATCCTCGGTCGGTTTGTGCATATGTGACATGTATGCCTAAAAATTGGGGGAAAAAATTACTCTTATCCTTGGTGTACACATGTATGCTGATAACTAGTAGATAGTGTATGTCATGCTTTTGATTTGAACATTTGCATTTTTGAGGGTGCGTAGGGCTGCTTTGAACCCAGCTTTGCAGTTAAGAAAACTATCTTTCAAGAATATTCTCTTTTTGGTCTAGTTAATTAATGAAATTTTTGTTTAGTATTCAAAGAGATATTTTTGTTTGTTTAGTAGTCATAAACCATACCTTTGTGCAAGTTGTTATGTAGTTCTTATTGTAATATCAAAAGGCATGAGACCTAGTAACATAGAAGTTATACTATTAAAAATTCACTATATTTCAAATATGTTCTCATGGACCGTTACACAAGTTAAAAGATAACTTAACGGGTCTTCAAAACATAATATTCAAACATGTGTTATTACTATTGTCCGTATTGAAAGTTTTGTTATGTCGGACCGAAGACTATAAAACCCAACAATTTTTGCATTTTATTGTCCGTATTGAAGTTTTGTTTGGACAATTTGTCAAACAACGCAGGATAAAAAACGAAATAGTTAGTGTTTAGAAAAAAAAAACGAAATAGTCATTTTCCACTATGAAAAAGCTGTTATCCATAACCAAAGCAAAACTCGTTTTATCGGCTCACAAAAGATCGGTAAATGAGTATTAATCCATCATTTTCAAATTTATTTCGAACCACATATCAATAATGTACTCGTTCCAGTTGATATTATTAATCGCTAAATAGTTTTATAGTATGAATCATTATTTTAAAAAAAAAAATCGTATGAATCATTTTTTTTTTGGGTCTGCGAATTTTGCAAGTATGTTGGAACCGGATATACGAAATAAAGGGTAAGTGCGTAATGACCCAGAATGAAAAAGACATAGGCGCATTGCTCTTCCATATTTACAACACGTGTCCAAACTCTGTACCATTCATCACATGTGTATCCTCCTTTTTTTGTTTTTTCTTTTTGCTGGGACAAAGGAAGTAAAAGAAGCCGCAGAAGACGAATATACCCTCGTGAAAGTCCGTCCATAAATATGGGCCTCCTACAATGCAATTCTTCCCTTTTCCCCTTCTACCCTTTCTTTCGTCTTAACCCTTTTGAGAAAAAATACTACTTTCCTTTTTGGTGTAAGTTTTTTTTTAGAACCATGATGTCTTCCCTTTCACCGGTTTTTTCATCTGAACCGGCTTTGGCATCTGGATTCACTACATGGGACGCATCAGATTTATTCACTATTTTGGATGATACATCGTTATGTCCCGTGGAAGTAAACCCCGGTCCAGGGAATACAAACTCTTGTCAAATTCAAAACCAATGCTATCCCAATCCCGGTTTTAAAGATAAACCTTTTAACCAAACCGGTTTGAACGTTGTCCTCCCGGATAAAGATGATCGACGAGAGAAACGAAAGAAATCAAACCGGGAATCTGCTCGGCGGTCCAGGATGAAGCAACAAAAACATCTAGAGGACGTCAGAAGCCAGTTTCACCAGCTCAAGAGAGATAACCGCGAACTAGAAAACCAGCTCCGGTACGCTATGCACCATTGTCAACATGCAAAGATTGAAAAAGATCGTCTACGATTGGAACACCATATTCTCCAGGAGAAGCTCTTGAACTTACGACAGGTTTTGGTGCTGAGACAAATCCAGCAGAGCTCAACATGTGCCTCGTGGTCGTACGTTAACAGTACCGTTGCAACGGTCCATCGAAATCCGTCGATCATATAAGGGATCACGTAATTTGAGATTTTCAAAACACGACTCTGCGTTGTTACACGTTCTAGAACAAACGATATAGATATGTATGAAACACTACGAGTCTTTTTTTATTTTTATAAATAAGTTACTTTCGTAAATAAGTTTCGAGAACTAAAGAACAAAGAAACGTATGGATAGTTTAGTTAGTTTAGTTTTGTATGATGTTTTGGTTTAGGCCATATATTATGTTATTTAGAAACGTTTTCTCACTTTTTATGATTTTAAACGGATTCGGCTGTCCAAACAAAAAACGGATTCTAGTATTGACTTACGTACTGAGAATTAAATAGTTACTTATCATTAATTCGCTGATAAATAGTAGAATAATATCATTCGCTATTATTTTAATTATCTATGTATATATTGTCTAAAACGGAAATGAAATTTCAAAGTAACCCCTTACATTTTAGTCTTATTTACAAAATACTTTTCTTTTTAAAAGAAACACAGCATGATAAAATGCGATAAGTGGTATAAGAAAATGGAAGAAGCTAATGATTTGTTTGACTGAGTGGTTTAATCGTCTAATTTTGATATTAGTTGGGTAAATGAATGTGCATGCATGATAACATAAAATTATGGAAGTGGTTCAAATTCAAACACGTGTTGCTATCCGTTGATCGTAACAGTATAATAATTCGTATAAATCAATATGTGGTCTTTTCTATTTTGTCAGTCTAGCAAGTCTTGCATTACGCATAATATTACAAATAAAACATGGAGTATATCTAAATATGTGACTAACATTGAATGTATTTGAATTAGCGTTCTAATTATATTACTATTTTACTTTTTTAAAAATCGCATAACAAAAAAAAAAAGTCTAATGTTGTTCCATCCCTATCGTATTGCTTTATTAAAGCTTCCGGTATGATGTTCCATTTTTACTAGCTAGCGACAGAGATCAAAACTCGCTTTATTGTATACGAGTTTAACAGGTGGATTATTTTTTACCAAGTTAGGATATTAAAGATAGTGGTGGCTTGATGACTTCATATGCCCACTCGTCATGATCATATCTTAATTAAGCGCACTTTGTACCTCAGTTAACTCCTCAATTTATTAGATGAATTTGAACAATTAAATAAATCATATGCGGGAAAAAAAGAGAGAGTAAACCGTGGCCTCACAGCGTCACTCCAAAACGTTCGATTCTCAGTACTGATATAATTAATGGATTAATAGTTTACGAGGTTGTGATGATATAAGTATAGCAATAACCAACAGTTTAAAAGGCATCAAAATATAAGACAAGTCTTTCATCAATAATGGGAATTTTTAAGGTGGTAGAAGAGCTTCAAAATGTCCAAAATTCGTCACGAAAAGCAGATTTTAACTTTCCACGAGAAATCTATCTCTCTTTTTCTTTTCCTTTTCAAATGTTTTGCTTTCCTACCCCAAGACCTTTCGTGAATTTATATTTGTTTAAATCATTACATAACTAATTAGTATTTGAATCCATAGGCAAAATCACACAAAATAAATTCAATTAGTGAAAATTCAACGACTGATAGTCAACCCATAAAACTTGCAACTATTAAACCAAAAAAACACAAAAAAATGGTTAGGGAAGTTGACCAAGATAAATTTGAACACAAAAACAAGACAAAATACCGATAGGGTTCTGTGCAAATACTCATCTTGCACATGGTTTAGGTTATATTTGTTTGGAACATGTCAATCCATCCAATCATCGGCTCTCTTTATTATAGTTCTTTGTAGAGAAAAACACAAGAAAAAAGTTTCAAGGAAAAGGAGCTAAAAAGCTTCCGTTGAATTTTTCTTTTCAAGGACAAGTGAATTACTTGTTATCCAGAATCTTACAAAAACCTTTGACATGAGCTCGTGTCTGATGACAAATAAAAAGAAAAGAGGAACTTGGTTCCTCAATCTTCGTCAATCAATGAGATAATGAAATTATTCTTTGAATTGTTTCTCACAAACAAGAAAATTCAACAACTGAAAGTTGCTTTATTTATTTATGATAAGATGCTTTTGAAAATGTTTTCCCAATACTTTATTTGAAAATATACAAAAAAGTTCATATACATGAGAAACACATTCCAAAATAATTGACATTTTTTAGCCAAAAAACAATAAACACTGTATAATAATAATACTGGTACGATATATGTGAAATTAAATAAAGAATGAAGCTTATAGCATGTTAGCGTGAGCTTTTCATAGGGTTCATCACAACAAGTTCACAACCATAAACTAAGAAGCCCCATAAAATCAGGCCCATTTATATTCTAGTTCATAATTGAAAAACCCATAAAAAACCCAATCAAACCCTAGATCCCAAAAGACTAAAACCACCGTCTTGTATATAAATAGCCACTCAACACTTTATCTCTGTAACTCGTCTAGAACAGAAATAGATAAGAGAAGCCTCCATTATCAGTTTTTTCTCTTTCTTGTATCAAATTTCATTTTTTTCCGTTTTTAATCTGTTTTTTTTTTCTGTTTGTCATTCCTCGCTTAGCAATCTGTTCTTTTGATCTTACCAGAGCTTGTTATTTTGTGATTTTGATTATCTCAAATTCGGTCGGAGAAGAGAGCAGTGATTATAAAACATAAGAATAAAAATTCTGATCTGCTCATATCTGGGCATGATAGACTCATTATACACCCATAGAATATGAGCTCTCTTCTCAAACTATTTTGTGTGTTTAGGTTACCAAATTTTTAGCTATTAAATCAATAGAGTTCATATATCTTTACTCATGATAACGTTTGCTTTATGATTTGGTCTTTGACTCTTTGTTGGCCTTACCACCTTTTTTTTTTTCCCACCAATTTCTTTTACTCTATAAAACTGCTATTAGACACATAGGTTCTGATTGGTAACGTGCGGAATGGTGGAATTGTGTTTAAAAAACACAATTCTGTAAGTTTTTTACCAATCAACAAAAATCCGCATAATGAAAAAATACACACAGAAACGTAACTGTGTTTTTGTTTAACAAAAATATAAAGGAAAAATCATTCTGCAAAAAAGCGACTTATAAATCGCTTAATCTATTCCGCAAGATTTTTTTCGCAATTCTGCCATTCCGCAAATTTACCAAAGCCATTAATTATATAACTTGACAGCGTGTACCGAATCATAATTAAAAAAAAACAATTGTGGACTTCCAAGTTCTTTTGCCAGAGCTTGGAATAGAACATTTTACTGCATAACCAACCAATGATACGGAACATGACATATCTACAAACTGTGGGATTACTCTTTGGGTGTAACGAGAGCCGTCCCTGAGCAAATGTAAATTCTATGGACCTATTAATTTAATAAATAAGAATTAAAAACAAATAAAAATGGTAAAATTAAAAGGGGTAGGATTTAACTTGCAACCTCTTATAGAAACAACTCGTCACGCAATAACAAACTCGAGCAAAGACATTAAACTGAGGATTTTAACCACCGTCCGGCCCGTTTCTATACTATACCTGAAACATTTTTTTTTGTTCTGTAGCTGAAACATTTATCAGCTACTTATAAAAAAGTTGTATTCCAACTGTATGTTTCGACTTTCGAGGACACGGAAATTAACTCTTGTTTTTTCTTTTTATTTCCCTCTTGTCACTTTTAATTACGCTAGGAATTTACGCTAGGAAAATATGAAAAAGATTTAACTTATAATCTCTTTGGACGAGGACCAACTTATAATATCACACTTTTAAAACCCATCGATCGAAATAGGCCCGTTAAAAGTACCAGCTTATATCACATTATAAGCTCTTAAAAGCCCAATCGAAACCCTAACTCTAATTTCACCTACAGATATAAAAGCGCCATTAAACACATCATTTTATATACTCGTCTCCGTTCTCACAGACTCGTCCTGCAATCAAAAGGCATAGTAACCACTAACGCCTCCCAATTCGTCTTCAATTTTAATGCCATTTCTTTTTTCTCAGACCTTGATTTCTTTTTACCATTTCGTGTTTCATTTTTCTCTCTTGTTTTTTTTTGTCCGAGTTAGTTTTCAATTTTTAGAGGCGATGATGACATCAAAGCATTTCTCGATACTGAAACTTACTCGAGGGACCAAAAAACTCTTGTAATCTTTCTTGATGTTTATTATTTGTGCGTGTCTGAGCCTTTCAATCCGTCATTGCGATTTTCCTTTTATTTGAACTTGTTTTTTTGTTTTCCCGTAATTGAGATCTGAGAAGTCATCGTTTACAATAATCAATTTCTTATTTAGGCTTAACTATCATAATCGATGATTCACTTATGCAAAATTAAAGTAGAGATTGACCGATTTGCTAATTATGCTTTTTTTTCTTTTTTTTTTGGGTTTGTTCAGTCTATTTTCAATCGAAAGGCATGGAAGAAGCAGATCAGCTATGTTTGGCGGCTAAATCCGGCGACTTGAAAAAGGTTCAAACTTTGATAAATTCCGGCGCCGACGTTTCTTACTTTGACGTCGACGGTCTAACTCCGTTAATGCACGCCGCTAAAATCGGAAACGCCGAGATCGTAGCCGCTTTGCTCGAATCAGGAGCCCCATGGAACGCTTTATCCCCATCAAATCTGTCAGCTGGTGATCTCGCCATGGAAGCAGGACACCAAGAAGCATTCGACCTTCTTCTCAAAACCGGGATCCAATCGGAGCTAATCCTAGGAACAATCGCAAGAAAAGAAACCAAACACGAGTACTCGAATCAAGAATACCTACAAGACCGAGTTAGTTTCAGCGAAGACAAGTTGATGGACAACGAAAGCAAAGGAGTGATGATGGCATGGGAGAAACCATTAATGGAAGCTCACGCGAAGGCTATATGCATCAATGGTGGTTCAATTCTAAACATTGGATTCGGAATGGGACTCGTCGATACAGCGATCCAACAGTATAATCCAACGAAACACACAATCATCGAGGCTCATCCTGAAGTCTATAAACGCATGATCGAGTCTGGTTGGGGTGAAAAAGAGAATGTGAAGATTGTCTTTGGAAGATGGCAAGATGTTCTTGATAAGCTTGATGACTCTGGTTATGATGGGATCTTCTTTGATACTTATGGAGAGTATTACGAGGATTTGTGGGAGTTTCATCAGAATCTTCCGAGGCTGTTGAAGCCTGATGGGGTTTATTCGTATTTCAATGGGTTTTGTGGGAGCAATGCGTTTTTTCACGTGGTGTATTGCAATCTGGTGACATTGGAGATTGAGAATCTAGGGTTTACCACTCAGTTGATTCCTTTGCCGGTTAAGGATTGTCTTGGGGATCAAGTTTGGGAAGGTGTGAAGCAAAAGTATTGGCAACTTGATACTTATTATCTCCCTGTTTGTCAGTTTAGTGAGTGAAGTTAAACTTAACAGTTCATGTAATTTTTTCTTTTTGATATACTTTTAGTGAAAAGAAAAAATGTTTGTTAACCAGTTCTCTCTTTGCAACCAGTTTTAATGGACTTGAGAGTTTGAAATGAACTACAAAAATAAACATGGGTTTTAGATGTGCGTATCCCTTAATAACACGACGTCAAATGGTTTATCGGTCATTTTAACGCCACGTGTTATCGTTTTCCTCGGGTCTAATTCTCACATTCGTCTCTTGTCCTCCATCTTTGTTCTGAATTTGGTTTCTGTCTCACCGATGGCGATACTCTCTCTACGATCTCCAAGCTCGTTGCAGCTCGTTTGTTCATCTGTTTCTCCTATGCGCTCGAAACCCTTGTTTCAGTTACCATCCAATTTTTCATCTTCGATTGCCTCTGTTCCTTCCACCAGATTAAAATCCAACAATACTTGCGTTTCACCGATCTTCAGAGACGGTCTAGTTTTCGCGAACGCTGCGACCGGAGCCGCTGGTTCCGTTACTGAGTACAGAGAAGATATCGGCGAGATCCTCGGCGATGTCTCCATCTTTACTGCTTCCGGCCAGCGCGTGCAATTTACTGATCTCTGGGATCAGAAAGATGTATGTTTTCTGTGTAACTTAATTATCCAAGTAACCGTATTTGAGGATCCATATGACGAATTCTTGTCAGGATGTTAGCGTTTGAATTTAGTTTATTTTATTATACACAGGGAATTGCCGCTGTTGTTCTTTTGAGGCATTTCGGATGCGTTTGCTGGTAAATTGATTGAAACCCTTTAACAAACTTATCAATTTCTTTCTCAAAGCTAGGATTTTTCTTTCAAATTACTGACAATGAATATGAAAGCTGGGAACTTGCTACTGCATTGAAAGAGGCGAAGCCAAGATTTGATGCGGCTGGTGTTAAATTGGTGGCTGTTGGTGTTGGAACTCCTGATAAGGCTCGTATACTTGCATCTCGGGTAAATTTTCCTTATTTGCCTCTCCATCTTCTTAGATTTTATACTGACTTACTCTGTCACAGTAGCTTAATTAATATGTACGTTCATTAAGAGATATGTAACATTTCGCTTTAGTTAAGTCGTTGTTATATGGAAGTTTTTCTTCCCAAAAAGAAAACTTACAGAATCCGAAGGACTCGACAATTTGAATGACAAACTTAGATAATGAGTCTAATTGGATTGTTCTCTTTGCTTTAGTTACCTTTTCCCATGGAATGTCTTTACGCGGATCCTGAACGCAAGGTAAAGCGAAAAAACCTACCTTGTTTTTCTGAGATATCTTTCGTCTTGAGAAGATGGTGATTGAAGTTTTAAGAGGATTGCAGGCATATGATGTTCTTGGTTTATACTACGGTTTAGGCCGCACTTTCTTCAACCCAGCAAGTGTATGAACCGCCTCCACTATTTAAGGCTTTGTTTGTACATATACTTTAATGCCAACTGGGAACATCTTTAAAAAACTTTGATTAATACAGGCTAAGGTCTTCTCGAGATTTGATGAGTTACGAGAAGCTACAAAGAATTACACCATCAAAGCCACTCCTGAAGACAGAAGCAGTGTGCTGCAACAGGTTTGTTTTGTTTGATTCTTCGCAAGACAAGATTTTTAACAGATATAGGTGCTGCTTTACTTATTCTGTTTGATCCTTTTCTCTTTCTTCTTCTCTTTTTAGGGAGGTACGTTTGTTTTCAGAGGCAAGAAGCTGTTGTATGGTCGAAAAGATGAAGGTACTGGAGATCATCCATCTATAGATGATGTCATCAATGTCTGCTGCAAAGCCACTGTTGCTTGAACATTGGATTAAAGTCTCTCTGATTTGTCTTAATACTTAGATCACTGTATATTTGCAGCTATTAATGTCTCTCTATACACTATACTTTTTCAAGTTTCTAAATAAATTGGAAGAGCCACATGTACAAGTCCAATCTCTCTCCGCTCGTGTAGATTTTGAAGATGTCGACAATTCAATGAACCACCTATATCTTTTTTTTGGGGAAAGATAAGACAAGTGTTTGGTGTGTTAGTGGAATAAAAATCCTGTCTTTTCTGTAGTGCGTGCTTACAAAATGTGTTTGTATGTATTTGAACTCCATATGAATGAATAAACTGATGGTTCTCATCAAAGTAAAAAAAAAAAATTAACTGATGGTTATCAGCAAAGTTAAAAAAAAGAAACATATATTATCTTGGCTCTAGCAGGAAGTTAGGAAGCCACCCAATATAAATATAATTCCATAGTATTTAATTATTTATATAAGAAAAAGAGAAAGAGTTGTCGAAAAATACTTTGACGCCTCCGATTAAAATAATACCGAATTCAAAGTATAGTCAAATAGTAAAATTAAACTGCGAATGCGGTGTGACATGACTAAGCATTAAACCTTGGTCTATACCTATAACGTTTTTAAAGGCTGAAAACGATGAAAACGCAATATTTTGAAAGTGACTGACTGTATTATTTTGATACAAAACTTCTACTTAAAGAAAATCAAATCTCTCTCTATATTGCGCTCAGCCCAAGACTCTACTACTAACGTGCGCATTAATATCCGGCCGAAAGACGATCACTCCGACAAGCAAAAATTCTCTTTCCAACAGCACATCTTCTGTTTCCTCTCTGCCTTCTTTCTTGTTAAAAATATTTTTGAATTCTTCGTCTTCTTCAACCTTTTTGGAAAAATCCCTTCAATGCCGGCGAATCACCGGTTTAGCCGCCGGTTACTCTTACTTTTCCTTCTGAGTTTCGAAACGGCGCGGCGTTTGGCTTCCGGTGACTCAAACGACGAGGCGTGTCTGACGAACCTCCGTCAGAGCTTAGAAGATCCGGCGAATAACCTCCATAACTGGACTAAACCATTCTTCACCAATCCTTGCTCCGGCTTCAGTTCTCATCTTCACGGTGTTACTTGCAACAACGGCAGAATTTACAAACTCTCCTTAACCAATCTCTCTCTCCGTGGCTCCATTTCGCCTTTCCTTTCAAACTGCACAAATCTCCAGTCCCTAGATCTATCTTCCAACCAGATCTCCGGTGAGATCCCGTCGGAGATACAGTTCTTAGCCAACCTAGCTGTGCTTAATCTCTCCTCTAATCGTCTCTCCGGTCAAATCTCACCTCAGCTCGCTCTCTGCGCTTATCTAAACGTCATCGATCTCCACGATAACCGTCTCTCCGGTCAAATCCCGCAACAATTGGGGCTTCTCGCGAGATTATCGACGTTCGATGTCTCCAACAACAAATTGTCCGGTCAGATTCCGCCGAACCTGGGGATGCGAAACGGAAACTTGCCGAGATTCAACTCGAGCTCGTTCGTAGGGAACAAGAAATTGTTTGGATATCCGTTGGAGGAGATGAAGAGCAAAGGATTATCAGTAATGGCGATTGTTGGGATTGGGCTTGGAAGTGGGATCGCGAGCTTGGTGATTAGCTTCACAGGGGTCTGTATTTGGTTGAAGATCACTGAGCGGAAAATGGAGGAAGAAGAAGGAAAGATTAGTCACTCTATGCCTGATTACTAACCCACTTTTATTACACAATTAATGGTTTTATTAGTTAGGTCTTTTCACTTCAACAAACCAAAACGGAAATATACAAAATTAGAGTATTCATTATGCGCATTTACGGTTACTTTATGCTCTAATCATATTTAGATTATTTGTTTTTGTTCATCTTTAGGAATTTCTCCTTATTTAGTTTACTTCGGCTAAAAGAAATATGCTTTGTAACTGGGTATACTATTAACAAAAACAAGAAAAATATTGATTTGTGGAAACTTCTCATTTTACAGTTTGTACTTTGTATTAGTTTAACAATAACCGGAAGAGAAGGATGATTTCTATTTTTCTACTATCGACCAGTTGCCTAACATTTGTCAACTTTCATTTGACTCATCCAGCTGCTTCATCGGTTCTTCATGACTCCAATTACTTTAATGGGCCGCACAAGTGTTGATAAAAGCCCATCGGATATCTGACCCAGGCCCGAAGATCTTTCTTTTCTTCAAAACGTTTTCAATCAAGCAACTGCGACAGTGGAGGCAAAATCATCAATGCAATGCTGCCGGTTACGAGATGCATAGAATCTCTCACATACTCGAGTGTTTTCTCAGCAAACGCCAGTTCTTCCTAGCATCTTCCCAATTCAAGTCTCGGTTTGACGTGCTTCACAGAAGTTTTCACGTTTCTAGAGCTCTCGAAGATAATTTCCGGAGAAGTAACGGGACCGGCTTAGTTTGTCTCGACAAGAGCCACAAAGAGCGTACGAAAAACTCCAACCACGATGAATTCGCGAGTGACGTCGAAAAGGCATACAGAATTTTGCGGAAATTTCATTCTAGGGTTCCGAAGTTGGAGCTCGCGCTTAACGAATCCGGTGTTGAACTCCGACCCGGGTTAATCGAACGGGTTCTGAATCGTTGCGGGGATGCTGGGAATCTAGGTTACAGATTCTTCGTCTGGGCGGCGAAGCAACCCGGTTATTGCCACAGCTATCAAGTGTACAAATCAATGGTGAAAATTCTAAGCAAAATGCGGCATTTTGAAGCCGTCTGGGCTTTAATCGAAGAAATGAGGAAGGAGAATCCGCAGTTGATTGAGCCGGAATTGTTTGTCGTTCTGGTGCGGAGATTTGCGTCTTCGAATATGGTGAAGAAAGCCATTGAGGTGCTCGACGAAATGCCTAAGTTTGGTTTAGAACCGGACGAGTATGTATTCGGGTGTTTGTTAGATGCGCTATGCAAGAACGGTAGCGTTAAGGATGCTGCAAAGCTTTTCGAGGAAATGAGATTGCGGTTTCCGCCTAATCTCCGGTATTTTACTTCATTGTTGTATGGTTGGTGCAGGGAAGGGAAGATGATGGAAGCTGAACATGTTTTGGTTGAGATGAAGGAAGCTAGGTTTGAGCCTGACGTCGTTGTTTACACTAACTTGCTAAGTGGATATGCTCATGCTGGTAAGATGGCAGAAGCTTATGATCTTTTGAAAGATATGAGAAGAAGAGGATTTGAACCAAATGCAAATTGTTACACTGTTTTGATCCAGGCGTTGTGTAAAGTAGATAGAATGGAAGAAGCAATGAGAGTATTTGTTGAGATGGAGAGATATGAATGTGAGGCTGACATTGTGACTTACAATGCTTTGGTTAGTGGGTTTTGCAAATGGGGGAAGATCGATAAGTGTTATAGTGTGTTGGATGATATGATAAAGAAATGTCTCATGCCGTCCCAACTCACCTATATGCATATCATGGCGGCTCATGAGAAGAAAGAAAAATTTGAAGAGTGTTTGGAGCTGATGGAGAAGATGAAGGAGATAGGTTATCACCTCGATCTTGGTGTTTACAATGTCGTCATCAGATTGGCCTGCAAGTTGGGAGAAGTAAAGGAAGCTGTTCGATTGTGGAATGAAATGGAAGCAAGCGGTTTGAGTCCAGGAGTAGATACGTTTGTTATTATGATCGATGGATTGACAAACCAAGGTTGTCTCCTCGAAGCCTGCGATCACTTCAAAGTAATGGTAAGTCGAGGACTGTTCTCCGTTCCACAATACGGAACTCTGAAATCATTGCTCAATGCACTCTTAAGAGACGGGAAGCTAGAAACGGCTAAAGATATTTGGAGTTGCATCATGAGTGAAGGCAGTTGCGAGCTGAATGTATCGTCTTGGACAATATGGATCCATGCATTGTTTTCTAAAGGTTATGTAAAGGATGCGTGTTCTTATTGTCTTGAAATGATGGAAATGGACTTCATGCTTCAACCCGACACATTTGCTAAGCTTATGAAGGGTTTAAAGAAACTGTATAATAGAGAATTCGCTGTTGAGATTACTGAGAAAGTGAGGAATATGGCAGCTGAAAGAGAGCTGAGTTTTAAAATGTATAAGAGGAGAGGTGTGGAGGATTTGACTAAGAAAGCTAAAGCTAAAAAAAGATAGAGAAGGGAAGTTGAAGCGGAGGACTCGATAACTGTGAGTTCTAAAGGAAACACTTTTTTTTTTGTTTGTTGAGGAGTTGTTGTACAGTGCATTGATTTTTGAAAGTTTCAAGTGTCGGCAAAACGGCAAGAAGTCTATTGTTAGTTAAACTTGCAGAATAGAAACGACGCCGTCTGGAGGAGCATTCTCTCGCTTTTTTTTTTTTCTTTGTTTTTTTAATGTGAATGTTCGACAATAACAACACAAGAAGACGAAGCTCTCCGTTAGTAAAATGTTTTAGCTTAGAGCTACAGAAGAAAGCTCACACACGAATTTTCTCGGATCTGAGATCTTTAGATCCGAACATCGTTTAATCGAAAACGTTGATTCAAGGTAGGTATGTATGCCTCCCTTCTCCCCTTTTTGATTTCTCGTTGATAGTTTTTGGGTTCTATTTTCCGCTTTATCGGTTTTCCTCGGTAGCGTGAGTTCCCTGTTCCATGGATCAATAATAGATGGCATTGATTTGTTTCTCTGGATTCATGTTCGGCTTTGTGATTTCTTGCTATTATGTTGCTGAATGTTACAATGAACTTGCGCGAAACCTGTTTTGTTCGTCTGGTAATTTGTTATCCAGATTCGGGATGCTCATTTTCATGGATCTGTTTTTTTTTTTTTTTAATAAATTTATTCCATATCTGGTAAAATTTTTGAGGGAAGAAGTAGCGAACGTTAAATTCCTAAACCTCCCTGTATGAAATTTGTCGGTAATCCTGTAACCACGTAGAGAGTGGCGATTATCCTAGTTGGATGTGTTCTTTGTTGTTTTACAGACATTAAAGTTAAGAAAAACAGACGAATCTATTTTAATGTCTATTTTGCTTTGAAGGTCTAAGAAAAGCTTTGAGGGATCTTACTTCTTAGTCATGTCAAGAAGGCAAGTAGGTTCGACAAGGCGTGTAGGGGATAATGGAAGCTTCCCATTTGTGGGAGCTTTGCACTCAAAATCACGTTCCTCTCCTCTAGTATCTATTTGCCTTGTTCTCGTGGTATGGTGATTCGTGATTCGTTCTAATCTCTTAAGTGATTCGTTTCATGGGAGACAAATTGACTCATTTCTAAAATATGATCCTTTTTCTTTCCAGGGAGCATGCCTTCTCATTGGTTATGCTTTCAGTGGTCCAGGTTTGTTTATCTTCAACCGAGTATGTTTTGCTTGTGATTTCGACTTTAAAACCCTAATTGCAGATTCCTGTAATAACAGGTATGTTTAAAAGTATCAGAGAAGTCAGCAAGATCACAGGTTATTATTGTTTCTCATCTTCAATTCATGTGCTTAAGATAGTGCTAGTCTTCACTCAAACAATATCGTTTTTTTTTCTGCAAGAATGCGTGACACTTGACATAAACTCTCGAATTTGTTTGACAACTTTCTACAGGTGACTATTCTTCATCAGAAGTTCAAAGAGCCATTCCTGTTCTTAAGAGTGCTTATGGAGATAGCATGCGAAAAGTTTTGCACGTGGGTCCTGAAACATGCTCAGTGGTCTCTAGTCTGTTAATGGAAGAAGAGACTGAAGCATGGGGCGTTGAACCATATGATGTAGAGGATGCAGACTCTAATTGCAAAAGTCTTTTGCATAAAGGCCTTGTACGTGTGGCTGACATCAAATTCCCTCTGCCTTACCGGTCAAAGTCTTTTTCTCTTGTGATCGTCTCCGATGCTCTGGATTACCTCTCACCCAAGTATCTGAACAAAACCGTTCCTGAACTTGCACGGGTTGCTTCGGATGGTGTCGTTCTTTTTGCAGGTAATTAAAACCCGGCCTCTAAGAAAAAAAAGGTTAAGGTCAAGTATCCGAAGAGATAGAAACCTATTCTGATTGAACTTAATCTTCATCAACTATAGGTAATCCTGGTCAGCAAAAGGCTAAAGTTGCAGAATTGTCGAAATTTGGACGACCGGTAAGTTCACTAAATGTTCTTCTCATGAATGTTATGGCTTAGGTTTACAGTTTCCCCGTTCGCTTAACTTTATGCAATTTCGCTGTTTTGCAGGCTAAAATGCGTAGCTCGTCGTGGTGGACCCGTTTCTTCTCACAGACGAGTTTAGAGGAAAACGAAGCAGCAAGCAAGAAGTTCGAACAAGCAGCTTCCAAGGTTTCATACAAACCATCTTGTCAAGTCTTCCACCTCAAGCCATTACATTAGATCAGTATTGTTACTTTTACTAGTCTTAAAGCACCAAACCAGATATATCTCCTCGTTGTTATATGCTTTTTCTTTTTCACTATAGAAAGAAAATACAAAATTGTAACCCATTCTCAACTATTTGTTTTATAATTTAACTATTTAATAAATTAGCCCGCATTCATATGATTTTAACATCATCTGATAGAATCTACTACTCAATAAAGTATAAACTATAGCTCTGGCCGAGTAAATCAAAGTTTAGATGAAAAATAAAATTAAGTTGAAAAAAATAGGAGAATTACAGAAGTTAAAAAATCATGTATGTATACAGATATTATGTATTTTCTGTTCTAGCATTAAGACATCATCGCTGTTTCTCGCAATCTAATTTGTTTTGTTCTTAACTTCTAATAAGGTTACAACTTATACAACTCTACAAGTCGCGACTACTTTCCCTCTGTTAAAATGGGCCAAGCCCAATAATAGGTCCAGACGTTAATTAGATCGTTCGATATGTATGGGCAGTGCCCCACGTTACATTAGACATACATGGGCACGTATCGCACGATACATAAGTTTTCAAATTTTTTTATATATTTTTTTACTTATTTGGTATCAATTGAGCTAGTCTAGACGGGCTAGTTTTGTTAATTTATTTTTTGATAACCTATATGTCTACAATTTACAATTGGTTGCCATTTGCCAAAAAATAACATACAAACAAAAAACACAGCATAGATAATATAAATATGGAAAACGAGAGGGGAGAGACAAACACAGACTGGTATAAAGACATAAACATAAGTCGACCATACTGTTGTTAACTTGGTATCCAATGCAGGTGGGAATTTTCTTTTGTCAAGTATTTTTTTGGTTTATTATTGGCTTTTATATGATCATATGACCTACCAAACTGTAATATAAGACCAAATTGTATATATATATATATACACATCAACAGTTTATAGACTAAACTCTCTCTCTCTAAACCTAGATTCTTAAACTATAGAGAAATTTCTTCTTACCAGTTACCAAAGCACATATGTAATCCTTGAAACATATAGAAAATCAATATCTTGCCAATTAAAACATCAACCATGGCAAAAAGAGCTAAAAAGAAAATCCTTATAATCCCTGATATTGACTAACATTTATAAGAAATTGTCACCACTCAAAATCTTCCATTGAACCACTATTCATTCGTTGGTTGAGCTCTTAACATCATAAGAGAATCCTTTCTATCATTTTAATTAAACGGTTTCGCCATATGACATGATACATTTCTTAAACTCAAAGTTTTTTTTATATATAACAAGCGAATCTTTAAAATCTACAATAATTTTTGAAATCTGTGGGAAAACCAAATATTTTATTTTTATATATTTAACACATTTATAGAAACTATACATGATTGGAATTGGAGTTTAAACTCAAAACATGATTGACGACTTGACGTAGTAGGAGGAGGATTCAAACCACGGCTCCAAGAACTGGTTTCTAATTCATAAATCTTGCTTTTAGAGTTAGCACTGATCATCACTCCATTATGGGTATACATTTAATAAACAATCTCATTTGACATTAGACGATAGAGATCAGCTGGAATGAAGATTCGACCACCAAACAGGTTAAATGGGACCCACGTTTTCAATTTTTGGAACATGAATAGTGGAAATTAAGAAAAACAAAAATGGCAAAAAGAAAGATCACGATGGTTGTCACAAAATGTTGTTGTTTGATGTAGGGACTTTGGGGTGGGTAGGGTCTTGTAACCTATACTTTTCACATGCATTCTTAAACCCTATTTCTACTGCATCTCCATGTGCCTCCCCTCACGTCTCTACCTCCTCCTCTCTCTCTTTTTTTTTTTTATTTTTTTTTGCGTTATATATAAATTTTCTCTCATATCTGTAACCATCTAAAATATTATAGAAATATTTCCATATACATACCAATTTGGAAATTTCTATTACTTTCTTAGATAATTATTTTTTGAACTATTATCATGGTTAATTATCAAAATATCTGACTACGATTTGTTCACAAATAGTCTGCAGTTCTTGTTTTGATCGAAGTCTGAATTTTTTTGTTTTAAAGCTATTTAGACAAAATGTTATTATGGTCATGAAGTACAAAATGGTATGTAACCATGAAATCCTATATATATTTTTCAAGCGCTTTTTAATTTGTTATCGGGGTCCCTTTTTATTTCATCGATTATTAATCATAAAATAGAGATTATGACTTTAACGAAATAATAGAATCTAAATGTTCTATGATATATATTATATGATTGCATTTATTAGTTGATATGATATCTTTTAGATTGTTTCAGAAAACGCAATCAAGAATAATATGATAAATACCGAAATATAGGGCTTCATCATCATCAATATTATTTCACATGTTATATTCAATGAGTCGTATTCATTTAATCATTATTAAGAGTTGTTATTCGAGGACCCATTCTGGTCGCACCAATCAAATCAATTTGAGCTTTCTAAAATCTTGAAAATAATCTGCGAATATCACATCGTCTCATTAATTAATTAAAAAAAATATTGTATCAAAGAAAGCAGTATTATATAAAATTATAAATTGTGAAATAATATAACGATTGTCTGACGTCAAAATTTATTAATTTAAATATATTCTTACCTACCAAAGAATATTCCAGTTAAGTCAGTTAATAGTTGGAGTCAAACTTAAATCGAACAACATCGCCTAAAAATCGGGGGGCGTAAGTTATAACCAACGGCTACCAACATGAACTTTTATATCATCCACCTGATTAGATAAAGTTATTAAAATATTAATATAAGTCCGAATCACTTAACTCATTTAGCCATTCTAAATCCCATCTTTCACACAAGTATTTGCGCATCGGACTGGTGCTTATTTCAGATAAATGATTATTAAATATATGATTAAATTTTCCGATTGTTTTTCTTATAATTTATATACATTCAAGAAGAAAATAATATCAACAAAAACCATATAAAATATATAAATTCCTCATTTAACCAGTAAAAGTGTTTTTCCCTAAAATAATCTTATTCTTCTTTTCATACTTTTTTTAATTATCAGGATTAAAAATATATCAACATATCATAGACGTCAATGATCTTACTCAAACTGAGGATTTGGTTGATCAATATATTGATGCTAAGAAGTTGTCTTTTGATTTATATTTCTATTGATATCGAAGATCGATATAAACCGATAAATCAGTAAATCACCGAACTGAAACCATAATGGTCACATTGGTCAGTGAAAGAGTGTTTATGCATGAAATCGAAAATGATCACACCAAAGAAATATGTTTACGTCAATGAGTAGAGAAATAAATATATAAAGAAAATTAATGGCGGACCAACACATTTGGGATTACTAGTTTAAGGGAGCATAAATGGTCCTATTTGACTTACCATTTTCCGTAAATGTATTTTAGATGTACAAATGTATACATACGTATATGCATACGTATACATGATCAGTTTAATGAGCCAATCCAATTTCTTCTTAAAGCGATTTGATGTCGGTATGGCATTACACTTTATCCCCACTTGTCTCTCTTCCCCTTTTCTTGTATGCCATTTCCTTGTTTTTCAATTTTACGTTTACCCTTTTATTTTAGTCATATTATATAAGTCTAACTGTTGACATTCAATTACAGATCTTGATAAGAAAATTTAAATTATATGCTCACAACCATTTGTGAAATGATTTTACCATCTACTTATAAGAGTAATTATGAATTTACGAGGCATTAATATTGGACAAATGCTATAGTCTATAGATAGATATCAGTTCACGACTTTATATTTTACTCCACAGAGTAAGCTTTTCTTTGTGCTGACTTCATGAGTGGATTTTAAAATTACAGTCATAATATACGCTTCACAATCAAACCATTTAGAGTTTGCTTTTTTAATTGTTTGGTCTCTAAAGGATGGTCATAATAAGGACGGTCCGGCGGTGACGGAAACGCGTAAAGGCTAATCATTTAACTATACTAACTACCATTATTTTTAAAATTTTCTTTGTCGATAAATACCATTATTTAAATCCGTCCCTATTTCTCCTTTACCTTTCTCATCAGTCGTTCCCATTATTTTTAGAAAACAAGGAAATAAATTAGGTAAATAAACTCAATTTTTAAATTCTGTATGTAACTATGTGTGAATGCTTTTGAAAACATCCAATACTAAGATTTATTGCTGATGTGTGTGGAAACTATTATTATAAATAGAAGTTCAATAATGGATCATTCTTATTTCAAATTATATAACTAGCTTCTGCAATATACTACATAATTGTTTTTCATCAAATAATAGCTGAATGATTATTAGAGACGTAATAAGATACAATAAAAGAAGTTATTTCACATGTCTTAACGAATAATTTTACTAAACTATGTTAATGTCTGGGCGGTCAAAAAAGTCTCTCTAGTTTCTGATTCTGTTGTTGTCACACTTTTTTTTTTTAAGGATAACATGTCGTAAGATTTTTATCTATATATATCTCTCAACATACCCATTGCTTCTCCAACCATATCTCACTCTTCACCAACTTAAACCCTAATTCAAGTTCTCTCTCTCTCTCTCTCTCTCTCTCTCTTCCCATATCAATATTCTCTTCGGCCAAAATCTCTCCAAATAAACTCCGAAATATGAAACAGCTTTCGACAAAAGTGACAAGCAATGGTCATGGACAAGACTCATCCTATTTTTTGGGATGGGAAGAGTACGAGAAGAATCCTTACGACGAGATCCAAAATCCTAATGGAATGATCCAGATGGGTCTTGCCGAAAATCAGCTATGTTTCGACCTAATCGAGTCATGGTTAGCTAAAAACCCAGACGCAGCTAGTCTAAAGAGGAACGGTCAATCCATTTTCAGAGAGCTTGCTCTCTTTCAAGACTATCACGGCATGCCTGAATTCAAAAAAGTAAGCTTCGTTTGTTTTCTTCAAAGTCGATAAAAAAAAAATATAGATTAACCTAATTTCTTCTACTGTATGACAAGTAATGAGTCATTTTCTCATTCTCATGAACATTTTCTGTTTTTTTTTTCCTATAGGCTATGGCTGATTTTATGGAAGAGATAAGAGGAAACAGAGTAACGTTCGATCCGAAAAAGATTGTTTTAGCAGCTGGTTCTACCTCTGCAAACGAAACTCTCATGTTTTGTCTCGCAGAGCCAGGCGATGCTTTCCTTTTGCCTACTCCTTACTATCCTGGGTAAATTACAATTCTAACTTAGTTTCACTTTACTTGGATTCCAAGTAAACTCATTGAAACTCTTTGCTTACGTCTTGGCTTTTTTGACGATTACAGATTTGATAGAGATCTTAAATGGAGAACCGGAGCTGAGATTGTGCCAATTCATTGCTCAAGCTCTAATGGCTTCCAAATCACGGAATCAGCTCTGCAACAAGCTTACCAACAAGCCCAGAAACTTGATCTCAAAGTCAAAGGAGTTCTTGTCACGAATCCATCTAACCCACTTGGCACTGCGTTGACCAGACGTGAACTTAACCTTCTCGTTGAGTTCATCACTTCCAAGAACATCCATCTCATTAGCGACGAGATCTACTCAGGCACTATGTACGGGTTTGAACAGTTCATAAGCGTAATGGATGTCTTGAAAGACAAGAAACTAGAGAACACCGAGGTTTCGAAACGAGTCCACGTCGTTTATAGCCTTTCAAAAGATTTGGGACTTCCTGGTTTCCGCGTGGGAGCGATCTACTCCAACGATGAAATGATCGTTTCCGCGGCTACTAAAATGTCAAGCTTCGGTCTTGTTTCTTCTCAAACACAATACCTTCTTTCTGCATTGCTCTCAGACAAGAAGTTCACAAGCCAATACCTCGAAGAGAACCAGAAACGCCTCAAGTCCAGACAGAAACGCCTCGTGTCTGGTCTTGAGTCCGCGGGGATCACTTGCCTGCGAAGCAACGCGGGGTTATTCTGTTGGGTCGACATGAGACACCTCTTGGACACAAACACATTCGAAGCTGAGCTTGACCTCTGGAAAAAGATTGTTTACAACGTGAAACTAAACATCTCGCCCGGTTCGTCCTGTCACTGCACCGAACCGGGTTGGTTTAGGGTCTGTTTCGCTAATTTGAGCGAGGATACACTCGATTTGGCCTTGAAGCGGCTCAAAACTTTCGTAGAGTCCACAGACTGTGGACGGATGATATCAAGAAGCAGCCATGAAAGGCTCAAGAGTTTGAGGAAGAAGACAGTCTCTAACTGGGTTTTCCGGGTTTCATGGTCCGACCGTGTACCTGATGAGCGATGAAATTATTCATCTCCCTAAGTTTGAGACGACGAACAAAAAATATTTCAAGGTTTTTTCTTCTTCTTTATTTCCTTCATTCTTTTTTTTTATATTTTGGAAAAGTATTTTTCATTTTCCAAGATATGTATAATGTCATTATATATGTATGTGTAATATTCATAAATGTTTGGGTGAGTTTTTATGCAATTTTTCGGGTGTAATATTGTTACTATAAGTGTTGTTCTATGTGTTAAAAATGCACTCAGTCCGAATGTGGATTTGCAGTGGCTATATACATAAAAGATATATCCCGTTGTAATTTTATTGAGAAGTTTGCATTTATTGTACCCATAAGATGTAATTCCCTCTTTTTAATATATATATATATATTTTATATATGTTACATATATATATATGTGTGTGTTTTCTACTTTTCTCTGACGATTTAGTTTTTAATTGTAGCTTTCATTTGATATAATTTCTGAATTGGTTGTGATACATTCTCCTTTGACTATAATGATCGTTAAAGTTCGTTAAGGACGTTTTAGTCAAGGCATCTGACAAGGAGGCTTAATTAATGTCAATCACCTAATTAAGCAATGGCGGGAATTGGTCAACTCATGAGAAAGCAAATGAGAAAAGGCAAAGCTAATGTCTTTTAGGTGATTTCAAAAAAGAAGAATTGTAATGTCTGTTATGTGAATCAAAGAGGAGGGCATGATCTCTTTGCCCAAAATGTGCCATGAAGCCAAATGAATAAATGAAATGAATAAATTTACGGATAAATCTTCATTATATTTATAACAGGGGGGGGGGAGGTAATTTCTAGCCTTCTACCGCAGTGAAAGTCTTGGACTAGTATTTGACTAAGTTTTATCAGGATTGAAAGGAAAAAAAAAAAACAGCCAATCGATGTGTATACAGTTCGATTAACAAAGGCCGTTTGTAGATACCCAAAGGCATAAGCCATAAGTGTTAAAAAACAACACTAATTAAACTTTTTGTGCTGTTAATTAAGTCCTTCAAGAACAACATCAGTTAAAAGGTAACAATAGAATTTTAATATAGCAAAATGATAAGATGAATCATTAATCGATGTTCACTCCATTCAAAAGCTATAATGCTATATGTGGATCGTTTTACTACCGTCTAAAACCTATACAATGATCGACTATTAAAGGCTTTAAAGCGATGCTATAACAAATACCATGGTTGATTAATATTTCCCAATGATTAGAGATTTATACATACAATACAATTCCAATCATGGGTACCGAAATCAATGATTCTGAAAATTTTGGAAATTAAAAGGCTCCAATCATTTGAAGAGAAAGGCGTTATGACCATTTTATTTCTTTCGTGTAATTATTTGTCGGAGGGATAAAGTGTCATATCATAGGCTAAATGCCTAATCATTATATATGATACCGGTCAAAGGTTATCATGATGCTAAGCCTATTATTATAACTAGAATAAATAATATCATAAAAATAAAATAAAAATCGAAAAATGCCATGAGCTTTGTTGGTACTACGAAGATTAAGAACTATATAAACACAACTTCAATAACCGAAATTTATTTAATTTGAGCATGATACGCGGCTATACCGGCCGTAACGGCTAATGATACTTACATGTGAGGAGCATTAATGTGGTGGTTGAGTACTAGTCCCCAAAAATCTGTCAAAATTAATTAATAATTCGATTAAAAAATGTAGTAGAGACATGTATGTACTTTGAGAAATAAGGGATTGAGAATTTGGTTGGATTTGAGAATCCGTGATGAGTTAATACTGATTGAGTACTGTACTTAAAAGTCTTAATTGCCATATGACCGACCATGAGTATACAAACAAGCTGAGATTTGTGTAGTTGTTGTACCAGAAGTTTTTCGCCATTTGTCATGGTCGTAGAACTACTTTCAAAAATATTATTTAAGCAACATGGAATGATAATAATATGATATTATAAGAAATAAATTGGTACGTCAACTTAATCTCCCTAAACTGGGGACAAACCGATAAATATAACTTTATGAAAGTAACCTTCGCACTTCTGTTGAGAATTTGAGATTATTACCCATCAAGGGCTTTGAATTAAATTTAGTTTTCCACCAAAAAAGGAAGAAGTTAAAATGTACTAATTTTTCTAAAACAGCGTATAGTGAAATTTAAGTTTATATATATCCACGTATTGTAAAGTTGATATAGATTATGTAACATGACAAGTTTGAACCAAGCTCTCAGACACGTGGGCTTCACGAGTAAGGACATATAACTGCACATGGCATGATACAAAAACATATAACATCTCTTCTTATTTTTTTGGTATACAACATCTCCTATATATGGTTTTTTTTTTTTTTTCACATGGATAACAAGAATGAACTGTAACGATTTATATTTCTCCATCTTTGACTTAGAGCAATAGGACAAATTTCCATCAAAATCGAAATTTCCATCAAAAAAAAAAAAGAATCATTTGGATTACAAGTTACATAAATTACACGCGTGGACCCGTCTGATGTTCTTCATCTATGCATGAGGGGCCATCTACGCATGGCATTGCTACTTACACATGACACATACATACTTGATGCATACATAAACATATTGAATTAATCGGAATTAAGAATTTCGTATATTATGAGCTCTAATATGGCATGTGGGTCACGTTAGCTTTTCTCGTACTCGATGCATATATAGCTTACGGTCACTTAACGTTGTTGTTTTATAGACGAGCATATTTTCGATTTTATTATATATAAACTTACAGTATAACTTAAATTAATGATGCTTCGTGTATACATCCACTTAAATTACTTAATATGTGCACGATTAAGAAGATTCATCGCACATTTGTTACTTACGAAACAAGTATCAAATCGCACAAATATTTGTTTCTTTGGCTTAGATGCACCGTCATGAATTATAATATAAAGTCGATATAATGCTCATGGAGTCTATCAATGTTCATCCTCTTCTACCCACATTTTCGAACATTGTTACTCCCAAATTAATCTCTATTTATAATATATTCTTTTAATTGAATTTTTGCTTATTGTTTCTATAAAGATAATTAATTTAGTTGGCTCTTCCTTTCTTGCGCAACCTAAGTAATTTAATGAATGATATATGAATATATGAGACCATCTCCATTGCAGGTTTCTCATGGGTTTCTCATGTTAATTATGCATTAAAAAAAGATTAAATGGTTTAATTAAAGAGAACCGTTTCTCTTGAGAGAAATTGAGAGACCTATGAGAGACTGTGACGTGGCTGCATATGGTTGGTTGAGAGTAATTTTTTTTTTTTTTCATTTTTCATTTAGTCTTCTTCTCTTCTTCTTCGTTTAGGAACAAGGGCAAAAAAAAGGAGAGAAGCCTGGATTTCGTGCGATGCTCTCATTGATGCATGTTTACACTTTCTCAATTATAAACACTTTCATTTATCTCTCTCTCTCTCGATGCTCTCTTTTTTATTTTTTTCTTTCTCTTCCTGAGAAGAAGACGCCCAAAGAATTTCTCAATTATAAACAATTTCTGATTTGGTTCATCATTAGATGAATTGGGTTTTTTGGATTCGGGTCCGATTACAAAACCTCACCATCTTCAGAGATCTTTCCTCTGTCCTCATCATCGTGTTTCCGGCCAGCGATATTTTGAATCTGCGCCGTCGTCATGCCTGAGATTCCGCCGCAGCGGTGTGCAATGCTCGGTGGTGGCTAAGGAGTGTAGAGTGAAAGGAGTCAAAGCCAAGCAGATTATTGATAGTAGAGGAAACCGACGGTCGAGGTTGACCTGATTACTGATAATCTGTACCGGTCGGCTGTTCCCAGTGGTGCATCTACGGGGATCTATGAGGCGCTCGAGCTTAGAGATGGTGATAAGAGCGTCTATGGTGGTAAAGGTGTTTTACAGGCTATTCGAAACATCAACAACCTTGTGGCTCCTAAACTCATCGGAGTTGACGTTAGGTGAGAATTAAGAATTCGTTCCAGAATCCAAAGAACATATAAGAAAGGTCATGGATCCGATTACACTTTCTCAATTATAAATGCATGTTGAATCAAAGGTTTAGGATGGGTGTGATTAGGGAATCGTCGCTGAATGGTTTCTTTTGTGTTTTTTTTTTCCGGTGGTGTAACGGCGGCGTTACGGCGGCGAGATGAGAAGCAATTGGCTGAGTCTTCTTCACGGTGGGAAGCGGTGAACTGAGTCTTCTCCTCGTGTTGTGTCTCCTCATGATGCGCAAGTATTTTAATCCTATCTGAACTTTACAGGACCACTTGATATATTGTTATGATCGATTGAGTGATGCTTGTGATGGATTGTTTAAATCGATGCTGTGTTAGTGTTTAGGGGAATCAATGCATTGTGTTAGAGTTAGAGGTAGGTTAACGGTAGGATAGTGAATCAATGCTTAGTGTGATGGTGAAGCTTTTTGTTTAATGCTTGGTAGTTAGGTGTAGTGTTAAGTTTGATAAGACTGGTAACCACACATCATCAAGGTTCATGAATTGCTTTGAAAACTAACAACAAAGACAATAACATTTTCTATTAAAGCACTTGGCCGATTGTTTTATCTAACAACACCAAGGAGAAGAAAACTCAAAACCCTTTAATCCTCTCCTTTATTCATCTCTTTTCTTCTCCTTTAATTCATCTCTTTCCTTCTCCTTTTTATTCATCTCTTTCTTTCTCCTTTTATTCATTTCCTTGTAATCCTTTAGTAAGCTATCTATTGTCCTTTATTCTTTCCTTAAGAGATTCAAAAGAAACAAATGGATTCTACTAATCCATTCCCTGACTCTGGCTTCATGGAGTTTCTTCACAGTCAACAAACACCACATGCCTTTGAACCTGTTTCACCAAGTATTTGTCTCGGTGATGCTGAAGATTCTGTCTTTGGTTCACAATGGGAAGATGGTGGAAGCGATGGTGAATGCAGGCCAAAAGAAGCAAAGAAATGTTCAAGGAAGAAATGGACACCTTTAGAGGATTTAGTCCTCATCAGCGCTTGGCTGAATACTAGTAAGGATCCCATAGTTGGGAATGAGCAGAGATTAGAAGCTTTTTGGAGTAGGATAGCCACATATTATGGCTCAAGTAAAAAGTTGGTCGGCATGGAGAAGAGGTACCCAAATAACTGCAAACAAAGGTGGTCAAAAATCAATGAAGCTCTCTGCAAGTTCGCCGGCTGCTATGCGTCTGCATCGGCTCAGAGATCAAGTGGTCAAAACGAGGATGATGTGATGAAGCTTGCCAATCAGATGTACTTGAATGATACAAAGAAAAAGTTCACATTGGAACATGCTTGGCGAGAGTTGAGAAATGAACAAAAATGGGCTCCAAAGGAAGGCAATGGTGTTTCTAAACGAAGAAGAAGAGAAGATGGGTCTTCACCGTCGGAAGCTGCGCATACCCATGGAGGAGATGAAGCTGAAAGGCGTCCAATCGGTGTAAAAGCTTCAAAGGCAAAAGGGAAGAAGCATGTGACCAGTGGCGAAGGAACTACTAAGCCGGATTATGAAGCCTTTGAAAAAGCCTGGGATATCAGACAAAAGGATTTAGACAGCAGGAACAAGTTAAGTAACAAGAGGATGTTGGAGAATCTTCTTGCCAGAACTGATCCTTTAAGTGAGGTGGAAGTGGTTTTAAAAAACAAGCTCATAGCTGAGGTTTTAGCAGATGGGTAAATCGCATATAGTTCTTGGTTAGTAGTGTTCTTTTTATCTATTTCTGATGTTTTAGCTGATGTTTTATCTGATGTTTTCCTTTTTATCTATTTCTGTTTCAAATGCTTTATGTTGTTGTCTGTTTCAAGGATCGGTTATTGTTGTTTAGTAGTGTTATTTGTACTTGTTGCATATGTTTAGTATGCTTATTAGTTTGATATCATGTTTAGTCTCTATATATGGCAATCTCGTGGTTGATTAAAGTTTGATATCATGTTTTTAAGTGTTCACTTTTTTTTTTTTATGCAGTTTACCATGGAGATGGAAGTTGGGCCAAAAATGTGTTGATATCAAGTTCAGTCAAGGATATCAAGTTTTAGGCCTTCTTTTTTGGTTTGGTCGGAGATTTTACTCCTTGGGCCTTTTTTTTAGTCGAGGATATCAAGTTTTAGGGGACCGTAATAGCTGGTTGTCCATATGTGCCGACCATTGTTTTTATGTGCCGACAGATACTTGTGGCTTCACATTATTTGAATTGTAGACCACATGTGTAATTCTCTCTTACATATTTCACTATATATACTACTCTTTTCTATAAATTAAAACACATCAAACAATCTTCTTGGTTACTTTATTTCTCTTCTTCATCAAAACGATCTTCACATTATTCTTGCTTCCTTTTTTTCTCTTCTTCATCAAACGATCTTCAATATTCTTGCTTCCTTTATTTCTCTTTTTCATCAAACAATCTTCAACCTCTTTTTCATCAAAGAATCTTTATTTTGTCTAAATGGCATCATCTTCCCGAAATAATACCGACGATATGATGGATCAACAATTTGATGAAAAATGGGATGGATTTTTTGACCAAGCGTTTGAAAATCTTATGCGTCAAAGTTGTGCTCCTCAACCTAAACCCAAGAAAAAAAGAGCATATATTGATAGAGATCGAGAAGAAGGGCATATTCGTTTATGGAACGACTACTTCAGTGAAGATGCAATCTACCCTGATCATATATTCCGGCGTCGTTTTAGAATGAACAATCCCTTGTTCATGAATATTGTTGATCGCCTCTCCAATGAAGTTCCTTTCTTTAAACAAAAAAGAGATGCAACCGGAAGACTCGGACTCTCCGCATTACAGAAGTCTACTACAGCAATTCGTATGATGGCATATGGTTGTGCGGCTGATGCAGTTGACGAATACCTCCGCCTAGGTGAGAGTACTGCAATCTCATGCTTGGAAAATTTTGTAGAAGGAATCATATATTTGTAGAAGGAATTGTCCCACGGCTTGGAAAGGGCAATACTCACGTGGTTCTGGAAACCAACAATCGTTTTAGAGGCTGTCGCTTCACATGATCTATGGATATGGCATGCATTTTTTGGACTTCCAGGTACTTTAAATGATATCAATGTTCTTGAACGCTCACCAGTTTTTGATGATGTATTACAAGGCAAAGCTCCAAAAGTGAAGTACTTTGTTAACGGGCATCAGTATCGTTTGGCGTACTATCTCACTGATGGGATTTACCCAAAATGGGCTACATTTGTCCGATCCTTTACACATCCAGAAGGTGAAAAAGCAAAATTGTTTGCTAAATGTCAATAATCTGTCCGTAAAGATGTTGAGCGTGCTTTTGGAGTCTTGCAAGCTCGTTTTGCTATTGTCAAAAATCCAGCTCTTATTTGGGATAAGGTAAAAATTGGAAAGATCATGCGAGCATGTATAATACTTCAACATGATAGTTCAAGATGAACGGAATGGGTACATTCGTTTTAATGTTGAAGAATTCACACAAGTAGAGTCAAACAGAACATCGCAAGTGGATTTAGCATATGAAACAGATATGCCGTCAAATATCAATAATTTGATGGGCATTCGAGACGATGTTCGTGATCGAAGGACGCATGAACGATTGAAAAATGATTTAGTGGAGCACATTTGGAACAAATTTGGAGGAATTTAAAATTTCAACTTTTTTTTTCGATTTTTCTGTTTTGTATTTCTGTGTTTATTAATGTATTTTTCTATGTGTTTGCAATTTAAATTAATGAATTAAATTTACTTTATAATATTTTTATAATTTAAATAATTAATTTTTTTCTAAAGAAACACTGTTTAAAGAGCTTACTATTGGAGATTTCAAAACTAAAAATCTCTCACAAATATATATATATGTGTAAATAACATAAAATATATTAAAAAACAAGATGAGAATCTCTATGGATCTCTCACCATTGAAGATGGTCTGATGCTTGGTTCTCAAACAAAACCACCACTCGAGTATTTTCGTTAAAGCCATCGCAGATGAGTTTTTGTCAACTCATAAATGGGCTTTTATGGGCGTTATGAGACATTTATTGTTGATAATAATCTTATAAGGTACCATATATTTTCCGTCTAAATCGGCTTTAATGGGCCGTACAAGTCTCTTGAAGCGAAGTCAAAAGACAAAAGGTTGTGGGGATTATTTGATCTGGCTGTTTTTAATATTATCAGAAAGATATTTGCGAAAATACTTAGTAATTTTTTTAAGATTACTATTATTTTATTAAAAAAAATGTTCCCGTATATATCATTTCTCCATAAGCAGATAACAAGAAATCGCCAAATCTCATCTACGTAATGGAAACAATATTATAAATCAATTGATAAAAAGTTAACACCACGTAGAAAACAATCAGGCGGACGCGACATTACTCCCATTTCCACAATAAAACAATTCATTATTTTCTGTAAATAAAAACAAATTTCCTAACTTTTAAACGGACAGAACACAGAAACACAAAGTTGGAAAGATGATTGTTATTATTATAAAAATGCAAAATAAAACCAGGGTGAATAATAGTAACATGTTAGTGAGTGTCAGCATCAGCTGCATTATAGAAAATTATAAATTATTAAGTACGTTGGTTCCTTTTTGACAATGGTCCGATTTTAAAGGTTAAACAAAGAATATAAATCATAAAATTATACAACAAGGTCGTCGCGGGGCGAATTGTCGTGAGGCTAATCAAGGTTTTATATGGTGTTGTTTTACTTATCGTCTAGAGGTTTGACAGAATGTACCAGTATTCAATGGATTAAATTATTAATCATAAGAGAGTCTGTATAATTCACATATCACCAGTCTCTCGTTCATATATCGTTTTGTTCCTTGATTTCTTCTCAACGATAATTATTCTTTTTTCCTTCTTTTCATAAATTGCTTTATCTTGACCCAAAAAGGATATAAGGAAATAATAATTAGTTCATCTTGATACTAAATGATGTTAAATTTCGGTTCAATTTTTCTTTTTCTGTAAGAAAGATTAAAAAATTGAATCTGGTTTAGATAAGCATCCTTATATTGCTTTAATTTCGATTTGATCATTCAGCTTTATATATGTTTTTTTGTTCACTAAGCATGGACTAAATATAACTTTCTTACATTCAGTCTTTTTGTTTACTACGTATTGTTAGTATATATAGAAAAGAAAACCGAATTATTTGAATTATGAACGGTTCGTTTTTGGAATGGCTATCTGTGGATGTATTTTCTAAATAACTAGCTGGAATACGAGTAACGCTTTTCACACTGGCCAATTATATATAATGTATATGATAGTCCAATAGGGTATTTTGGTAGGCAGATGAGAAACGCTTTAATAAACCTAAAAAGGTTATACGGCTAAGCTAAGTATAGCATACAAGTCCATGGCCATGCCACGTCTTGCCATCCACTGATGCAAGTGCTTACATACATAATCTTCCTCGCTATCTCTAGAATCTCCTAATTTTCCTCCCTAGATTACGATTATTTAATCAGTAATTGATATCCTAATTTTGGATTTAATTTGTATATTAATTAGAGGGGGATAATTCCATAAGATTTGTCGTTTTCTGTTTGTAGAGAGTGTTTGGATTTTGGAACATACACAATGACTTGTCTCTCAGAGACTACTAGTTTTTCAATTAATATTTCAAAACACACTTTTATTCTATTGTCTTTAAGCGTATGCATGTACAAAAAAGAGAGAGAGAGAGAGGGATTAACAAAAACAAATCAATCAAGCACGGATTGAAAAGACAGAATTAAAAATGTCCTTTTCTGCACTCAAAACATCGATAAAGGTTTTAAATGTATTGGAATTTTCGACATTGTTTGGTTAACGGGTCGTCATATATCATTACCGTTTTTGTTTTGTGCATACATAAAATCTATACAAATAAAATATATTTGCAGTACAGTGATTTGTACTAGTATCATCCTATATCCTAATCTGAATTTAATTTAAACTTGCTATTTATTATTTTGATTTTAATTTTTTTAAGACAAATAACATAAAATGTGAACACCATGTTAGTGTCGTATACAGATTAGATCATGTGAACTATTGAAGTTTACATCTCGTAGATTTATAAACAATTATGGTCTTTCTTTGAGTGGGATGATAAACCTATCTATTTACATGCGTAGCCTTATCAAAGTCAATGTAGAATACGAATATTTCGTCCCTTAACATAGATTATGATCAATTAAATATTTAGTGGATAATTTTATGTTTTAAGTTTTTGGTTTACGTGAGGTATAAGCACAAATCCTATATACTCATTAAAATATAGAATTAACTATACATGCATGAGTTTCAACTTCTAATAAACAAGATATCCAACGTTTGATGGCACGTTGAATATTTGGTAAAAGTAAATTATTATAGCTGATATTTTTGTCCAATTTTCTTTTTATCAAAATTGAATATTGTATGACTGTAATATTTGTCTGCTACAGTGAAAATGTAATTATAGGTTATTTTCAATAAAATTGCTTAATGACAAAGTCCAAGTTCTAATAGAAAATTATATCAAATAACGATAACGACATATGGAAAAATAAATGATGGTTAAGATATTTTTTCCCCTTCAATTTGTAAATGAAAACAGTGGTACATGACTTCTTCTCTAGACATTTTTTTCGTTGAAGGACTTTGTCACTCTAAGATAAAAATGGGCAGAAATGAAAATTATTTTATTTGGAGGTTTGAATGGGCAAAGATATGTGCCAAACTCAAACAGAGAAAGAGAATTTTGAGTGACATCAGTTGATTCTGTGATCTTTAAAACCAAACTGACTAGAGAGAGTTTCGAAGCTGTACGTACACTTGCGTTGAATTGGTAAGACAAGTAGACAACTCTTCTTCATTTTGTGAGGTATTTATTTATTTATTACCATTGCCTAACAGTTTATAAAAGAGGAACATTTCATAATTTTGCATTGCAAACCGGAGAGATCCAAGTAGTAATAGTCCTACTTAAGCGTGGGGAAAAAGATACCTTTATACAGTAAGTATATACGACTAAAAGTCTAAAATACTAATTATGTAAGAAAAAAAATATGATAACACTAACATATACTTAGTTGTAAATACACACACATAATTATGTGTATTCGAGTGTTTGTCGGAGTATCTCTGATCAGACGAAGCCATATAGATCCGACCATGAACGTGTCCATATTGTTTAGTTGATTAATAATTCCTAATTTCCCTTTATGATTATTCAACTATATATACGTACGCATTTATAAACATATATGAGCATTACCATAAAAAATATATAAATTATTGAATAAGTTAGGTTTTACTTAATTTCTGACCATATAGCGGTAGAAAGTTTAAGAAACGAGTTAGACGACGTTGATTCTTTTTTATTTATGTGATTTTGTATGATCCGTCGCTCCTTAATAATAGATTAAAATTCCTAATATCTTCAAGTGTTGAGGACTGTATCCGAAGCCATAGTTATATGTATAACAAAAAACTGGTTGGTTATATATCACTTGATTTGGCAAAATTTGACTGTCATAAATATTTTCACTGTTATAAATGAGTAAACGATTTGGCAAAAACTGGTTGTCTGTATCATAAATTCATACATCTACATATATGTATAATCTTATGTATATAATGTGTATAATATATATTGACTCGAGTGGGGTTGAATAGGAAACAGGGCAGAAAATCCTCCTTGGATTCTCCATTACAAGGCACCTAACAATTACTGTTTACTCTATAAAAAGACTATGCCGCTTGTATAAGATAATTAATAATGTTAACGTACATTTAAATATATAAATGAACTTTTATAACTTATAATGAGTAATTGGTGATCTATGTTGCCATGTTGGTGCGTTTAAAAGACAATCCTCTTTTAGGCTCTTAATTTCAGATTCATAGCTGTTTCCTTCATTTATGTGTCAGATGTATTGTTATTTGAAAAGATTATAAATTATCTAAAGAACTAATTAATTAGGGGAAAAAAGGAAGAAGCGAAAAGGTAGAATCTCTTTCACCTCAAAAGATCCATTCATCCTTATACATTGTTCTTAATAAAGCTAAGCTAAAACTAAAATAAACAAATCTCTGCATGAATATTAATCCCAGTCCATATAATTTTTCGACCACCCCCCCCCCCACCCCATAAAGACATAAGTTCATACAAAAAAACTCTTTATATATGTATATATAAGTAAAAATAGAACTGTATAAAAAAAAGTTACACATGATTTGGCCCATTGAAGTAACTTGCATCATCGGAATTAACAAGAGAGGTTATGTCCTCCCAACTTATTGTGCTTTGATCCGCCGATGTACTCGTCGTTCCTCCAGCCAAAGCTGCTCCAGCTCCAACTACTGATGAGTCTACATAGAATTTTGTGTTCTCGTTGGTCTCAAGATTGGCAATGTTGTTGTTGTCGTTGTTGTTTAAGAACATATCGTCGATTGCTTCGGTCTGAAAATTACTACTCCCGATCCATTGAAGA